CAACTTGAACTGCTGAAATTAACATTGACATCGCCGTTGACACGGCACGAATAGCATCGCGCTCAGCTACGTTGCTTTGCTGCTGGCAATGTGCTCGTCAGCACTTAGTACTTCTCGATTTATCTAATTTTCGCGCTGAATGCGCACAAAAAGCGTTTTGCTAGCAGCTAAAAACGGTCAATTGCTAAAAAATAAATGAAAATAAAAATAAAAAATAAAAACAGAAATGAATACAAAATAAATATGTAAATTCCGTAGGCAAGTACTTCTACTTATGTTTTGGGTGATTGCAAGTTGTATTTGTGGGCGGGGCAGGAATATTTGCATAATGCGAATATTTGTAAGCTTCCATAGATTGATTAGAGCCTAGCAGCAGCTATCTCTCTCTCTCTCTCTCTCTTACTCTTCAATTGCTATATATTGAATTTTCCGTTTCTAATTAGTTCACAACTTTCACTTCAATTATCACTCTTCTTTGGAAAAACTGTAAACCTTTTAATTAATATATACATATGTAAGAAAAAGTTTTTTCTTTGAGTCATATCTCAACCTTAACTTTTGGACTGGCTCTAGTGTATGTGTATCATATCTGACTCATTTGTGCTACATACACAGTCACAAAAAAATACTGACTCATTATTTTACAGTTATACACATACACTGACAAAAAGAACCCACTTAACACATGCATTTTCGTTTCCTGCTTGCAGCTATGGCCTACTGGGCGCCTCTGGCTGCGGCAAGACCACTCTGCTCTCCTGCATTGTGGGTCGTCGCAGCATAGACTCCGGCGAGATCTTTGTGCTGGGCGGCAAGCCCGGCACACGCGGCTCCGGCGTGCCCGGCAAACGTGTGGGCTATATGCCGCAAGAGATTGCACTTTATGGGGAGTTCTCCATACAGGAGACCATGATGTACTTCGGCTGGATCTTTGGCATGGAGACCAAGGAGATCTTGGAGCGCTTGCAGTTTCTGCTCAACTTTCTCGATCTGCCCTCGGAGAAGCGGCTGGTGAAAAATCTGAGCGGTGGCCAGCAGCGACGCGTCAGCTTTGCTGTGGCGCTCATGCACGATCCGGAGCTGTTGATTCTGGACGAGCCAACGGTGGGCGTGGACCCGCTGCTGCGCCAGAGCATATGGAATCATTTGGTGCACATCACGAAGGCCGGTCAAAAGACGGTGATCATAACTACACATTACATCGAGGAGGCACGACAGGCACACACTGTAAGTGAAGCCCGAAGAGATTATCCCAAGATTGGGTTTGATGTGATTCACAATTGCAGATTGGTCTGATGCGATCTGGACATTTGTTGGCCGAGGAATCGCCCAGCGTACTGCTGACCATGTACAAGTGCATTAGCCTGGAGGAGGTGTTCCTCAAGCTGTCCCGCATCCAGAGCCAGAAGGGCGACGTTAGCCAAGTGAACTTCAGGTGAGTCTCGGCACTGACATCTGCATGCTGCACGTAGTCCAACTGTAACTTAAACCCCCAAGGATCACTCATCTAATCTTTGTCTCTCTTAATTTCCATTCGTCCCAACACTCGCATGCTTGCAATCTGTGTACCCATCTCTGTGTGTCTCTCTCTCTCTCTCTCCCGCATCTCTCGCTCTGTGTGTGGGTGTGTCTGTGTGTGTTTGTGTTGGTAACGATGACAGTAACAACATCTCGTTGCATGCCATGGCCTTTGGCAGTAAAATGGACAAGCCCAGCTCCAGTCAGGAGGGCGGCGTTGTGGGTCTGAATTTCCACCAGAGCAAGGAGGTGCTCATTAACGATAGCAATGGTTCCATTTATACGGTTAGTTGTGGACAAGATAACACCGTAAAATTACACATAGATCCTAATGAATCTTAACCGCAACAGCTTAACCAGGAGCCGTATGGTCCGCCGCCTTCGAAGCGTCAGAACAGTCCCAACGATGAAGAGAGCTGTCAAGATTGCTTTACGGATCTCTGCAAGATTACCTCCAAGGGCAAGATACGCGCTCTGCTGACCAAGAATATGCTTCGCATGTGGCGCAATGTGGGCGTGATGCTGTTCATCTTTGCCCTGCCCGTGATGCAGGTCATCCTCTTCTGTCTGGCTATTGGACGTGATCCACAGGGCCTCAATCTGGCCATTGTCAACAGCGAAATGAACAATACGGTGAGTCTGATTATATAGAATTAATCAACTGTTTAGTAAATAGGTTTTAGTAAAACTGTCAAAGATCAGGCTGCCTTTCAGTTGATTTAGTGCGCCAATCATTGAGCTATAAAATCAGTCAGTCATTCAATCAGTTGGTAGAGTACTCAGTGAGTCAAGCACTCAGTCAGTCGGATAGTCTATCAACGAATCCATACAATTATACCATCAGTCAATCAACAACTGTCAGACAATAATAAGTCAATCAATGAGTCAATTCATTCAGCTAGCTAGTCAAATATTTTGTCAATATTCTATTCTAATAGTCAATCAATCGGTTATTCAATTAGTCAGCCAGTCAAAGTTTAGTCAAAATTCTATTCAATTAGTTAGTTGGTTAGTTAATCTCTTATTGAGTAAGTCAAAGAGATAAATAAATAATATTTCTCTAATTACCTTTGCAGGACACCTGCTTCTGGGAGGAGGGCTGTCATTTTGCCAATCTGGGCTGTCGCTACTTGAATCATCTGAACACGAGCGTGACTAAAACATATTATACGGATATAGAGGACGCCAAGGCGGCGGTGCGAAACGGCGATGCTTGGGGCGCTCTCTATATAACCGAGAACTTTACGGATGCATTCACAGCGCGCGTTGCGCTAGGCCGCGACTCGGACGAAGAGACCATTGAGCAGTCCGAGGTGAAGGTGTGGCTGGACATGTCCAATCAGCAGATCGGCATCATGCTCAATCGCGACATACAGCTGGCCTATCGTGACTTCGCCATGGGCCTGCTCGGCCAGTGCGGCAACAATCCAAAGCTGGGCGATGTGCCCATTCAGTTCCGCGATCCCATCTATGGCACAATGAATCCGTCCTTTACCGACTTCGTGGCACCTGGCGTCATATTGACGTGAGTGCCCATTAGCATTCCCACTTAATCAGTTACCGATATTAATTATATGCCATGCCATTATATTTATAGTATTGTCTTCTTCTTGGCTGTGGCCCTGACGTCATCCGCCCTGATCATCGAACGCACTGAGGTGGGCCGTTGTCAGACGACAACGAATTGACAACATGATTTGCATTACTAATCCACTCCATTTCTTAGGGCCTGCTGGATCGCTCTTGGGTTGCCGGCGTCTCCCCTGCCGAGATTCTCTTTTCGCATGTGATCACCCAGTTCGTAGTCATGTGCGGCCAGACCACGCTGGTGCTCATCTTCATGCTGGTCGTCTTTGGTGTGACCAACAACGGCGAACTGTTCTGGGTGATTGTGCTGACCCTGCTGCAGGGCATGTGCGGCATGTGCTTTGGTTTCCTCATCTCCTCCATCTGTGAGCTGGAACGTAATGCCATACAGCTGGCGCTGGGCTCCTTCTATCCCACGCTGTTGCTCTCTGGCGTCATTTGGCCCATTGAGGGCATGCCTGTGGTGCTGAGGTACTTATAATCAAACTGGATCAATTCCCTCAGTCACTCTAACTCTACGCTGTTCTTCTTCATTTTCTAGATATATCTCCCTATGCCTGCCGCTGACGATGGCCACATCCTCGCTGCGCTCCATTTTGACCCGCGGCTGGGCGATAACCGAGTCGGACGTCTATGTTGGCTATCTGAGCACGTTGTCCTGGATCTTGGGATTCCTGGTGCTGACTCTGCTGGTGCTGCGCTCCAAGCGCGGCTAGAGCGGGGCTTACGTTTTAGAGAACTAATTTTAAATGTGTCAAACTGATTTAGTTTGCGTTTAGTTTAGGCCGCTTTTAGTAGTCATTCCTCTACCAACTATCTACTCCACCTCCTTCTTGCGCCAATGGCTCTTAGCAATCCTAAGGTCCTAGCTAGTATATCTCTAGCTGTTTGCTTTTTTCTCCCCCTTTTATTCTTTCAATCTGCCTAGTTGTCATAAATTATTTAAGCACACATGCAACTTCTTCTTCTACTTCTTTTTCCCTTGCAAACTTTCCTTAATTTAAGTTGTGCACATTTTACGTAGTTTAATTCGTAAGGTTTAGAGGTACATAAATAAATTGTTGTAAATATTTAAAGCTTGCAACGCTACCACAAAGCAAATGAACGTAGCTAGTGACGCCACGAATCGTCGAATATTTTTAACAAACCCCTTTCAGCAAACTTAAAAAAAAAAAAAAAAAAAAAAAAAAAAAAAAAAAAAAAAAAAAAAAAAACAGAAACGGGCAAAAAGCACACAAAACAACTAATTTTATATATTTTCAATGGACTGTGATTGTACTTTTTTTTTGTTTTAATATTTGCACGCAAATTCGAGTTGGGCGCAAACCCAAAGAAAAGACAAAAGCAGAAAAACAAACAAAAAGGCAAAAAAGAACAAAAAACAAAAAATATACATAAAATATAAATATTGGTGGGGTTTGTTTGTAACATTAAATAGCTTAAAGCATTTTTGTATGGGTTTAAGTTTTGTAAGTTAAAACGTAATTATATACATAAATGTTAACTACACCACATATTATAATTAAATATATATATATATATATATATATATATATTTCTGTGGAAATTTTATGCATACGACATAAATATTTCTCAACGAACAAATCATGAAACAAACGAGCAAAATAAAACACTTCTTATTTAAGCAATTATAATTTTATGAACGCAACTATGTATAAATAACAAACAATAAAGTAAATAAAATCCAAATCGTTAGTTTCCGTATTTGTCGAACCTAGTTTACATACCACTCACCATATTATGGTTAGTGCTCATATGAAATTCAAATTTGAATTGGCGCTCATTGTCTTGGCCGTCGTTATGCAGCACTTTTTCTATTTCAGCGAGTTGGCAGCACCGTGGTTTAGTGCTGCCCAGCGCACCTAATGAACATATGTTCGCTGTGCTCTCAGCGGCAAGAAGAAGCATCAAAACAAAGAAAATATTGAAAATAAGTATCAATTTCACGCTAGCAAATAAACAAAATGCGATGAATGCGTAATTAATTAGAGCACAATTAACGCCACACAATGGACAAGTCCAGCGCTTACGAGAAATTCATTAGCCATGTGGACCAGCTGCGTAACACGGAATGCAGGTGAGCGTTTGTTTGTGTTTGTGTTGCCTGCCCCGACTTTTTCGCTGCGCTGGGGCTGCAACAGACCGGCAACAGTTTGTTATTGCGCAAAAGGCCAACGCAGGCTTAAAATTGTAATGCAATTATGCATTTGGTGTTTTGCATGGCTTTATTGATCAAACACCCAGAGTGCAGACGGCTCCAGTAGCCTAACAACGGGCTGCTCGGCTCATTGCACATCCGGTGTGACGTCATCAAATGCCTAAACACCCAGGTTGAATACAGTGGGCACTGCGAACATTGTTACACGATGGTTGACATTGGGATTAGAATGACAATGCCAATGCAAGCAATTACGCTAGATATTCTAAATATTTACATAAAATTAAATATGAAAATAAATTTAAAAAAAAAAAAAAAAAAAACTGTTAAGCGGTTCATATAAAAAATATTTCATTTATTATTATTTATTTTTTTTATTTTATTTGATTTATTTTATTAATTTTTTTTATCTATCTCAAATAAAATTAATTAGTCGCATGTTGAGTCATTTTATATATAACTATATACCAGCTTTATTAATACACATACATAGTATAAAAGATTCATCGAAACGCACCTTATTTATGATTACAAATAAAATCAAATTCAGTCAAAGTTCATTATTAAATTAAAAAAAAAAAAAAAAAATCAAAGTGCATATTGAGCAAATATATATTGCCCATCATTTGAAGTATGAAAAGTCAATTTATGCTTCATGCTCAAAGTAGACACCTCTCTCGAAAAAGTCTTCCTTATCCCACTTCGTTATGCCAACGATGCAAACTTATTACCCGCTTGATTAACTAAACTATATTCTTCTATCCTTGCAGCCAAAAGCAAAAGATTGCCTGCTTTCAGCAAATTGCTGAATGCATTATGTCAAAGGCTTTGGCCAGCCACATCAATTACGCCGCACACTGTGGCACGGCCACCAATGTGTTGTTGCTATTTTGCGAGGACTTCGACTCGGTGGTGCGCATGAGCGCCGAGGAGAATCTGAACAAAATCTTTCGCGCTTTGGAAAAGACGCGAGTCAGCCGCATTCTGATGGATTTATATGGTGAGATCAAGCGGAATGGCAATCAGCGGTAAGTGAGCTCACATATACACCATAACCTTCATGGTTAATCAAGTCGCTATACGTTTTTCAGATCGCTACGCATTTGCCTAAATTTGTTTTCGTACTATGCGCCGCAAATCAAGGAGAAACACATCAAATGGTACGCTGTGCGCCTGCTGCAGTGCATATCCGTTATGTCGCAGCGCAAGGAGACGCTGCTGCAGGAGACGCTCTCTGATTTTGTCAAGAATTTTGGACGCTACGTGCAGCAGGGCCTCAATGATAGCGAAACGTGCAAACTCTTTGAGGTAATACAGCTAGAGATTTGTATTGATATAGAACTATAGTCTAGACTTGGCAGTTAATTATAAGCCTCTTATATTATAATATTGTCAGTAAATGTAGCTTGTATTAATAAGGGTTTGATTTATATCTATATATATCTATACATAGCTGAATGGTAATTTCTACTGCAAAACTTAAATTAAATGCTATTCGGAGCTTGATTGTTTAAGTTGCGAAGCTTCCGGAGGCCTGTCCAATTGGTTTAAACGTGACTGGCTGTATGTTGATTTGTTGATTCGCATCTCATTCTCTGAATTTCTTTGATTGCAGACATTCCTTGGCAACATCAGCTCGGATTGCGCAGTGAAGCGTCGTTGCTCGGCACAAAATTGCATCAGTTTGATTGAGCATGCGCGCAATAGAAGTCTCATGGCCAGGCATGGACTAAGCAAAGTGATTGGTAAGCCAACAAATGCCGGATATGAAATGTGCACGTGCACATCAATATAAACATATACTTATATACATATACACCACGTCTATATCCAAATCATTACAATACTAAACTAGCAAATGCATCAATTGTTAATGCAGCCGTCGGCTGTGGCATTTATTTGTTTGAATTGCTTTTTATTTTGATTTTCATTTGATAGGTGTTTTTTCTAAGCTAATCCGTGATATTCATTTATATATTTTTTGTGTGTCTGTTTTTATTATTGCTTACCATTTGACGCGTTTAGCAAATGCTAACAGCAAAAAGTTGCATTAGTTTCATCAATAATGAAAACTGTGTTTAAAAAGCGTGTAAGGGCTTTAACGCACCAAATGCCAAGTGCTATATATATATAAAAAAAAAAATAAATAAAAAAAATAAAAATAATAATACAAAAATAGCATCAAAAGCCATGCATGCATGCATTTATGGAGGTGGAGGTGTATGCATGTGGAATATGTGTGTGTGTGTGTGTTTGTGTGAAATATTTTTTAATATTCTAAAAAGCCACAAATCCATTGAAAATACCATTGCAAAATATTCAACCCAGTGCATTGTGTACGATGCTTTCTTTTGGATTTGGTTTGGGTTGGCCAGGGCTTTAGGTGTGGGTGCTGCCATTGAGTACTATACAAACTAACTGTAAATGCAATCACAGTCAGTCATAGAATTTTCCATGGCGTTTATTTGCCTGTCTGCTGTATGAGAGTATGTGTGTGTGTGTGTGTGTGTGTGCGCAACTGCCACTACTAAAACTAAAATGCCAGTTGATATAAATTATATTTCTATATTGCCGTTGCTTACCTTTTGTGTGCGCTGTCCAGCCAAGTATCCACAGTCCTGCCCAACTATATGTAATGCATATACATATATTGATATTTTTACGAATTTGCTGCGATTTCAGACAACGGAAACGAGGCAGTTTTTATTTAGTCATTTGCTGGCTGGCAACTGCAGCAATAACTGCACTAACAACAAAAATCATATGAAATGCATTGTAAAAAGTCCTAAAAAAAAAAAAAAAAATAAAAATAAAAATAAAACAAATAGAAAAAAGAAAGAGGCAAAAATCAGTTTGGCATTTTTGCAACACAAATCATTTTTTATTGAATTTTCATGAACACTTTATTGGCAAACGGTAAATGGACAACAGATTTTAGATATGTGTACGATACTGTACGCTGTAATTCCAGGTGCTTGCATTTCTGCCGAAATTGTTGTAAAACTAGATTCAATTAAACCCACACAATTTGTTTGTGTTTAGCATTTATTTATGCATTTCAGTGACCCGAAAGAAGAACATAAATTTGAAATTTGTGTGCTTACGGTCGGGGGACACAAGTTATGCGTCTAAGGCCAACTGAATATGCAATGCCATCTCTTTGGCTGCGTCCACATTGCGCTTTTCAGCTTTTTAGTTGTTTACCTTCAAATCAACTCCTTCAAATCCTGGCCTCTGTGGCTAAAGCTGCAGCTCTGGCTATGTCAACTGCAAGCCACTGCTCGGCAAGTGCATACCACAATAGCTGGCGACAACAGTAGCAACAACAACAACAACAACAGTAACAACAACAATAACAACAGCAACAATGAGAACATCAACAACAACTACTCAGTGCACAGTCTGCCGCCTCTTTTTATGGCAGCCATCAGTGAAGCACTTGCAACACTCTGATGTCCTGCGCCTCTCCCTCGACACTCCCCAGGCCACAGTCTTGTGTCTTGAGCTCTAGCATGCCCCAACAAACATTCAGTAAGAGTAAGGTCCTTAACGCTGTTGCTCCTGCTCTCCCTCCCACTCTCTCCATCTCTCACTATCTCTTTCTCTGCTGCTGCTTTTCTGACTGCTGTTTGTCTGTCTGTTTGTTTGAGGCTGTAAGGCAAGCAAAATGAAATTTATGCACTTGGACACTTCCCTGTAATAATTCATGCGAAATTGAATCAGATATTCATTCCTGTGCAGCTTTAAAAGGATAATCAACTTTATAAGCAGCCAGCAAACAAGGGCAGCATCAAATTTATGCAGACAGCAGTTGTCGCGCTGCCTCCTTGCAAAACAAAAATGACCGAATAAGTCGCTGTGAATAAGTTGACCAAGTTAACAAGTTACCCAATTACCAACAATTGCTTTTCTGACTACTCATACATTCAAATGGAGTTTCAGAACTACAACATTTGTCTGACTTCATTTTTTTGTTTATGGCTATTTAGATAGATGCATTGAGGATCACACTTGACCTTCTCTCTCTCCGTCTCCCTACTTGAAAGAGTATCCCTTAAGTTGAACATCTCTACGATAAAACTACCAAAACCAATGCCACCTTTGTTATTTTTTAATATATATATTAGGCCTACATAAATTAGTTGGTTCATCTAAAAAACGTTTCTACTTAATTTCCATTTATTCCGAGTCCTACAAAAATACTTTCAGACAAGGAAAAGCACATTTAACACTTTACAGTCCTCATTTATGCTCTGCTCTGTGGCGCTTTATATAATTCATGACATCCATTGTCGAAATTGTCGCACTGTTGGAAATGTGGCAGCTCTTGAATGAGTGGCATGTAGCCAGGGAGTTGAGGTACGCAGGCAAGTAGGCAAGTAGGCAGGCAGGCAGGCAGGCAGGCAGCTTTTCAGAAGTGCCACTCAATCAAGTCAAGGATATTTCAGAAGTCAATTGATAAAAATGTGACACCAAGAACTTTGCCGTGCATTGGCGCATTTCATATTAATTTAAAAGATTAAACACCACGAGTTTTCTCAGCCATTAATTGAGTGCATTAAACGTGCCTCCAGCAGCTGAGCTCTGAGTCTTCGCATTCGCAAAGTTTTTTTTTTTGCGGTTTATGGGCGCAATTAATTGATACACATGGAGCGTAGGCAACAAGTTCCTGCTGCTAGCCGAAAGTCAATTGGAGAGGGTCATATAAAAGTTGCTCCGGCATGGCGGAAAGTGTTTTTCAATTTTGCGGCAAGCCCAAAGGAAAACGGCAAATTAATTGAGTAACAATGTTGCAACATGGCATTTTGTGATTGGTGGCGTATACGTAATAAAAAGAGGAAGAGAGAAATAACTGAAGCAAACAAACCCACAGCGCAGCCTATTTGCGCGCATGTGTGTGTGTGTGTGTGTGTGTGTGTGTGTGTGTGCCGGCACAAAGTCTATAAATACAAGATGAAAACTTTTCAATGAGATAAATTTAATTGGTGGCAATTTGTTGCGCAGCATGTGAGGTGAAGAGAGCGAAAAAGTTGCCAAAGAAATATGAACTGCAATTGGCTAAAGCTCTGTGCGCGCTCATGTGTGCGTGTGCGTGTGTGTGTGTGTCTCGGTGTGTGTGCTGCAAAGTTTCAGCTTGCGTTTTTAATTTGTGGCAACATCAGCCATAAGTTGTGCGCACCAACAAAAGACATTAACTAAAAGTTGTCTATAGAGAGAGAGAGAGAGTATTCTGATCAAATGAACTAAGCACCTGCTCTCCTTTTCTTTTCCTTTACAGAAATGCTGCTAATGGATCAACAGACGAGTTGCGTGCTGGGCGCCTTGGGTTTCCTGCGTCTGCTGTTGCCGCAGCTGATACGCGGCTACGCTGCTGATTGCCCGGACGATGGCGACTCCTTGGCGGCTGCTGGACCGCAGCAGCAGCGGCAACAACAACAACACGCTGCCGCATCCGATTGCCGGCAAATTATTGAAATTTATGATTATTGTTTGCACCTGCTGAGCACGCAGCACACAACGAATCACGCCATCATAAATGCCGCACTCGAGGTCATCAATGGCATACTCCAGGCACTGCACGATGCTCCAGGAGCTGTTGTACAGGCGGCGGGCCCAGCTGGTGCCGGTGCCGGTGCCGGTGGACTGGCGCAAAGTTTGCGCCAACTGCTGTGCAATCAACAACTGGAGCACAATGAGTATTTGCGGCGAAGGAAATCATTAAAAAATCAAATATTCCAATTGAGAAATTACGAAGTGGGCACAAGCCAATGGGAGGAGTTGCCTGGCGGGGCAATGCCAATGCAAATGCAAATGGCAAAGAATTCAAATGCCAAACTGCAGCAGCAAAAGTGTCAACAGCAACAACAACAGCAGCAACATCAACTGCAGATTGGCATGAGCTCGCTGCAAGTCGTGGGAATTAATGCCATGGCTGATGATGCTGACACCGAGAAAGATGCTGAAGCGAGTTCCGCTGCTGATGAAGGTAAAGTAAATAAAGCTGAGTCTAGATGAGCGTGTGTCTGGCTGTCTGTGTATGTATGTGTGTGTTGTGTGTGTGTGTGCAGTCATGTACGACTGTCACATGCTGACAGAGTGACATCTGGACGGAGCGACTGACAGACAGAGAGACAGTTAGACAAGCAAACAGATAGACCGCACCGAAATCAAGAAAATTGAGCAATGCCACTGTCACAGTCGCCGCCCACATACACACACACACATACTGCCACGCCCACACAATGCACATATGAAAATTATTGGTGCATGCTTTTAGGCGGCGGTGCATGCAAAATGAGGTCAAAACGAAATTTGCATACACCGCCAGCAACAACAGCAGCAACAACGAGCTACTACACGAATTGTAAAGCTAAAGCTCTAAACCCAATGCGCATTCGCTTCTCTCTTTCCCAACAGCAAAGAAATCATCGCGACAACACATTAGAAATGCAGCACGAAGCATAAGCGAATGCGTGGCGAGCAGCGCATCAGACGAGGACGAACAACAGCCAGCTGGAGATAATGATGATGTTAACGCTAATGCTAATGCTGGTACTGCTGCTGCTGTTGCTGCTGCTGATGATGATGATGGTGATGATGATATGGAGCTGCTAAGTGCCGCTGCGGACGATGACTACGAGGGCTTCACAACGCTGTCACAACTAAATGAAACACAACCAACTGTGTCAGATGCATTGAAAATGCCAAATATCACAGCTACTGATGCAGCAGGAGCATCAGGAGATGTGCATGTTGCATCCATGGCTAAACCTCAGGCCGTGCAGCATCAGTCATCGATGCAGAATTTACTTGCCAGCGATGACAGATCTCAGCATTTGAGTGACATCGACAATGAATCCTTCAACAGCATCGATTTCGATGCGGAAATAACAATTGCTGGCATCAGAGAGCAACAGACAGATGCAACAGCAACAGCAACAGCAACAACAATATCAACTGCTGCAACAACAGGAACGAACGAGTCAGCGGAGTCAATGCCAGATGCAACAACAATTGGCACATTCTTCAACAATTTGCTGTCCCATTCAAATGCAGGTGAGTCGCTCAGGCCAATCCATAACTATATTGTGCTCTGATACCACTTAAATCAATGAATTGTTTGAAGGGTATATTGAATATATTGATATACTCTTATAGACATGACAAGTTTATCAAATATTATAATCTGAAAATTAACATACAAAATATATATAAGCCATTATACTTTAATTTCCAATTTTCAATGGGTTCTGGCTATAAAAAAGGATTTTTTAAACAACGCAGTTTTTGTCTAATATATATATTAAAATTGTGAACATAAAGTTGATTAATAGAATATATTACAATTATCAAATCAAGGATATTTTTACGTAATATCTCAACGTGGTATTTAATAGATTTGCTCTACTAGGAAAATATTTCATTAGGGTACATGAAATTATAGCTGACGGGTGCTTGGAAAATAGTTTTCATTTGATGTTATTGGATTTCGCGGTCTGTCGTTTTTTGTTTTCCATTTCACCACATTTATTTACAATATTTGTGCATGGCAATCAAATTATTTGCATAATTGTTCTAGAGAATGGTCACAAAGAGAATAGGAGAGAAAGAGATGGAGTAGCAGAGAGAGACATAGGGAGAGGGAGGGATAGATACCGAGGCCCTGGGAGCCAGACAACACGTTGGCAACGAAATTTGCATGCTGCCTTTTGCCAATTGCACTTGCAATTTAATGAAGCGTAATTGTTGTTGTTCACTATGCTGCATGGTCTCTGTGGAATCAACAGCAACAACAAGCACACAAGCAACACCAACAATAGCAGGGAGCACAACTAAATTAAATTAGGCAATGCTCGAACGAATCATGGCAGTGCAGGGCTTGCATAGACCAGGACACTAGGCAGAGAGGGCTAGAGTGGCTATGATGGGCGGCCATGAGTAGGCAAGGCGGGGCGAGGCGAGGCGAGGCACGGCAAAGTAAAGCAAAGGCAAGGCACAAGTTGCATGCATCATTTGTCGCTTCAGTGGCTGTGCGTCGCTTTCCACTTTTTGTTGCTTTTGAGTCTCGTCTGTTGACATGACAACAACAAGAGCAGCAGCAGCAACAACAACAACAACAACAGCAGCAACAACAACCCGAGCATCAACTGCAAAGTCAATAGCATTAGCAAACAATATTTGCCATTTGAAAATTGAATTCATTTTGATTGAGAAAAACGTCGACGTTGTTCAAACTTACTAACATTCAATAAATGCATTCTGCTTTCCGCTAATGTACATTTACTAGAGTGCGTGCGTGTGCGTGTGTGCATATGTGTGTGTGCCGTAAGGTAGGCAGCAAAAGATATTGCCATGAGCCCCAAAAAAATTTGTAACATGAGAATGGCATAAAAAGAGAGCAATTGCAAACAATCATGCCCTGCCTTATGTGTGTGTGTGTGTGTGGGAGTGTGTGTGAGTGTGAGTTAATAAGCAGTGAAAATGCTGCTCACGCAGCCGGAAGCAGTAATTAAGTGAATGAGTTGTGTGGGTATGCGAAAGAGTCAGCCATACATAATGTACGACGTGCAAAAGAGACAGCGCAATATCTGGGCTACAAAAAAAAAAAAAAAAAAGAAGAAAAAGACGAAATGCAAAAGGAAAGCTTAAGCAACTACTTGACGTAAATGTTGGGCTTAAATTCGTCGTCTCATTCACGAACTGAATGTCTCTCTATCTGTCAGTCTGTATGTCTGCCGGTCTGTCTGTCCGTCTGTTAGTCCGTGTGTGGGCTGCGGATTAAGCTTGAAACATGGCAACGCATTTACCGCGAACAATCCCATGCGACGGCCAGGCTCAACCTTCTGCAACACCCTGCATCCGAACGCCTCCTGCCCCGCATGCTTCTTTTGGATGCGCGAATGCTGCTGCCACTTGGCCAAAGCATCACACTGCAAGTTGGCAACAAAGTGGTTAAGACAAATGGGTTACGTGATAAAATGCGGTTACTCAAATTGCATGTATGCAAGCTTACATCTTCTGTGTGTGTGTGTGTGTGTGTGTGTGTGTGTGTGTGAGTGAGTGAGTGAGCGTGTGTGTGTTTGTTTATTTGTGGGTGTTTTAGTTTATTTAGCATTGCCAGCCAGCCAGCCAACCAAGCAGCCAGCCAGGATAGTCAGCTAGGCCATAGGATCTGACGTTCATTTAGCTGCTTTTGCAACCGATGTTGTTATTGTTGTCAAGCTCACTGCTGTTGCCTTTTTGTTGTGCACTTATGCGATATCAGCCTTTTTACGCTGCTCGCCCGCCGACCCGCCCACCCTTAGCCAGCGCTCCTGCTGCTAGTTATTGTTGTTGACTTTTTCTAGATATACATATTTATGTATATAAATATATGTATATATATGTGTATATACGTATACATATGAGTATCAGCAGCCGCCAATCTTCATCCGCAGCCAAAGAGCGTCACCAAATCCTGCAATTTGTATGCTCTTACAGTAAGTTGGTTTATATGAATATCAAATTTAATTTGCGCAAAACTTTTAAATTACAAAAAAGTGTTTTTTTTTTTTTTTTAATATATTATATAATATATATATTATATGTTTATATGAAATATAAAATATTATTTATGCTTAAGATTCTGGTCTCAGTTCCTCTTTGAAGTCTGAGTTGAGAAACAGAAAAGCTTTTACTTAACTTTTTATCGAAGCTAAAATTTTGAAATATTTTATTAATATTTTTAGCACATTTTCTTCTTTTTTTCATACTAAATAATAATAATTATTATTTTTGTTTGTCTTTTACACAAGAGCATTCAAGTTTCATTGTATTTCGTTTCGCGTTTCTCCCCTCTGTTTTCATAAACAATTTATGTATTTTGTTGTTGTTGCGTTGTTGCTGCTGTTGTTGTTTTTTTTTTAGTTAGTTTGCATATGCTGTTGTGGGTAGTAGGCGAGCCTTTTGGCTGGTTATGTGTCACCCATAAAGTGGCAGCCCGCATTTCCCCCGCATTTCCCCCACATTTCTGCAAACAGCTCCACTTCTTGTTCTTGCGCGTTTTCCGTTCGTGACTGCCGCGTTTCCTACGCGGCTTTCGCTATCCTTTGGCATTTTTTCTTCATCCTGCCTGGGTTTTCCCCCCTTTGGTTTTTTGCTGGAGCATGCATACTCATATGAACGAACGCCCGCTAGTTTTATTTGCCATTTCGCTGTTGTTGTTCTTAGTTTTAACGTGATTTTAAATAACAAAACTGCAAAAAAAGTTGCTAGGGCTGCCGCTGTTTTATAACGGTTTCAATTTGTGGCACTCAACTTTCTGGCGAGTGAAGAAGATGCAGCACTGACGCAACTTACGGCTTAAGTAAAACTATTAAAGCATAAACTGCACCGAGCAATCCAACTAAGTTACATATACATGCATTCCTCTACTTGGGGGCATCTCATAAAAAGTGATGGCAACTCAGCGTACAGAGTGCTGTAAGTAGCTCGAATTTGGTTAGGTTTACGATTCCACTAATTGAACGTAAAAATTTCAATGATTTCTCTGATTTAGCTTTCGTTTAACTGCGCATTCCAGCTTAGCCTCGATTTTGTTGTTGTTGTTGTTGTTTTTTTTTTTCTAACTCTAAGCTCAAATTGCTAGACATCTAAATAAACTCCTCCTTTTTTGAATTTATACAGACAGTAACTTTTAATGTTTAGCATCCACTTTAGTTTATAGCTTGATCTTTTCTTGAGCTCAAAGCTGAATCAAGCTTTAAGTGATATTAATGAGAAATCTGATAGTAAAAGAAATGATAATGAAAATTTATATAATCTTTTACTGTTGCTCTCTTCTAACCGGCTCTTTAATATACTTATACTTCTTTCTATCCTATTTATATTATTATTATATTATACATATATCTACATCCGTTTGCTTAATTCTATAATCACAAGTCATATCCTTGTTCATAATAAACTACATATTAGCTGCAGCTACATCTTCAACGGATGTTTGCTTTTGTGTTTTTCTCTTTTCCTATTTGGATGTGCTGTTCTAATTTTAACGGCGCTTGCATGCGGTTGTAACATCCATTAGACGATACAACAACAATAAAAATGGCTACAGGAATTCCAGCTAGCAGATACAGCAGCTAAATAAAAACAATTTTTTAAGCCAACTTAAGTGCGGTTGCGGTCAATGGTGGCAGCACTTGGTCGATCTCTCTCTCTGCCTCTCACTCTCTCTCACTTTCTTAATATATATTCTCTCCCACTTTTCTTTCACTTAACGTATGTATACTATAAAATTTGAGTTTTCAATTAATTTCCAATAGCTGCAGCTATGTGTAGGAATGTATAGAGAGGGTGTAGCAAAGAGAAGGAGAGGGAGAATGAAAGATACTAAGTATGCTCTTACTGGGCATGAACGACTAGTTGATGCGCAGTGAGACGAGCTCTATATATTCAGATTTTCTATACTAATACTATAATAGAGATAATCCCATAAGCAACAGGACATATTTTACCTTGCTGAATTAGATTAGAAAAGAACGGATTAGTTAAGCATTTATTAGATTAGACGTAAAGGGTATTAGCATCGACAAAAGTGTATAGTTTTGCAGCTTTCAGACTGACCAAGTTAGACGGTTGGAGGTTTCCGTTTTTATTGCCGTCTCGTGTTTAGAAAGTTTGCAAACATTTTCCGTTTTGTTGCATTCTTAAAAGCCCCAATAGCCAAGACGGCCGCGACAGACAAATGTGCCTCGTAATTGGCTACAAGTTCTGAGTACGAGCGAGTGAAGCTCAAGTTGAAGTTGAACCTGATGCTGATGCTGATGCTATGGCTAAGGCGGAGGATGAGGCTGGGGCTGGGGCTGGGGCTGGGGCTGGGGTAGAGGTAAGCGACAGTGTGGCAAACCACAATTAGCCTGAGCCAACGTCGGGCCTGGCATTAGTGTCAGGGCAAGTTATCTGGAAAAAGTTTGGACTGCTCAACTGAGTTGGTTTTTTGTCTTGCAGCGTCGGAGTCGGTCAGTAAGCTCTTTCGTCAATCAAACGGCCCCAAATCCACGCCGGCCAAGCTGGCGCCAACCACTGATAAATCGGATGCTGCATCGACGGCTTCGCTAACGCTCTCGTTGAGCTCGTTAGCCAGCAGCAGTGCGGCCGGGCCGCAGGAGCGTCAGCCCTCAATAACAGAGACGCCCACGCCGGTGGAGGAGACTACAGGCTCGGGCAGTGGCTCGTATACGGCATCCACGGCGCTGCTGATGGATGCACCAGATACTGGAGCAGCGGCAGCGGCAGCTGACGGAGACTCTGAAGCGGAACCGCAGCTACGTCGAACACCCAACGGTAAGCCATCTGCTGTCCATGTGCAGCAGACTAATTAGATTCTTTATTCCGGCAGCTAATCCCTTTCTGGCGGAGAGCTCACCGCTCAAGCAAACGGTATCGGGTCATGCTCTAATCAGCGTGAGAATTGGCAGCATTCTGGAGCAATCCTTGGTTTACTACACAGCCCGCCTGCTCGCTGCACGTTTCCTGCTAAGCGGCCAGGCCTCAGGTCTGCAGCCGGACACAATAAGCCGTGTGTCCATCAAGAGTCTATCGCTGGCAGTGATTGCGCAATGTGTGCGACTGGCGCCACGCGTCCTCCAGTTGTCGCTGGAGATCAGCGAGCAGGAGCTACAGCTGCTCGCCCAAATTAGCGCTAATAGCACTCAGGTTTCCAGTCCGCAGAGCAGCAACGAGTCACAGCGGAGCACGGAGCCGTGCCAATCAATGACGGGATCACTGCTGGAGCCAGTCGTGGACATTGAGGAGAATCTGCTGCTGCTGGAAATCAAGGATGACCATTTTGGCCCCAGCACCTGCCCTGCGTATCTGCAGCAGTCGCCGACCCTGAGTCGCAGCGCTGATGCCACGCTGTTGCAGTCGCAGTTGGAGAAGAGGCGCCAGTCGAATTCGCAGCAGCTGAATGCGCCCGAGAGTCATCTCTCCAGATCAGAGATCATTGGCACTTCGTATCGCATCACAGTTGCGGCAGAGGATGCGCCGCCCTTGGCGCTGCCGCCGGTGCCGCCCAAGCGCACCAAATCCATGCGCAGTCGCGCCAGCTGCACAGCCACAGCCACGACCACGCCCACAACAAGCGCCGGTGGTCAAGCGCTGGCCGATGTGCTGCTCTTCCATGAACATTCTGATCCCATGTTGCGTGGCGGCGTCCAGCAAATAGTGGGCAGCTTTGTGCAGGCGAGCGGCGCCGGGCGCTGCTTGCAGCTGCAGCCTGGACTGGGCCTGGCGCATTTGCTGGCCATTTTGCTGAAGGTAAGCGGGGACTCCAGGCATGTTGACAACAATGGTGTTGCATCGCTGCCGGCGCGTTCTTTGATACCTGGTTGATTGTATGTGTGTGGGTGTGGGTGTGTGTGTGGGTTTTCCTGCTGGTTGGGGTGAGTGGCTTATCTGGCGTGACTTAATGTGGCAAACGATGCTCCACATGCAGTTATCTATTCATATATGCTTGTATCTCTGCCCAGGCAACTTACAGCTGCCCCGGCAAGCTTATGCATAACGCATACGCCGCGTTGTTTGTCCTAGCGCTGGCTTTTCGCCCACTCTCTCACTCTGCCTCGCTCTCTTTGCCACATTCTATAAATATGCACCTCCACCTTTTCGCTGCACGTGCTTTTTTTTTCTCTCACCGTTAAACCAACAAGCTAACATATTTTAACACATGCAGGCATGCATGCACACATAAAAAGACACAGACACGTGTCCATATCAATGGCTGTGGGTGTATGCTTTTGAATATTTTGCAGTGCCCTGCAGTACGGTGCAGTAGCTGCTGCAGTTGCAGCTAAGCCGGCGGCATTTTGTGCCGGGCTGTTTTTCATTTCGCAATAAGAAAGAAAATTCTTATCGCTTTAGCAATGTGCAAGTGCAAATGCCCCTAAGGCTAACAGCGCATCCGTTGCCAAAGCCCGACCACACATACATATACAGACATACATGACATACACGCAGGCAAATGGAGAATGTGCGCATAACTTGCACATTGATTTCTCTCTTGAGAATTGTTAGGTACACATACTACTATGGTCTGTAGCCAGTCCAGGGCAGTCCAGGGCAGGGCAGGGCGGTGCAGGACAGGATTGACTTGTGCTATTCTGGGGGGACGTTCGCTGCTCTTATTGAATTCAATAATTTAGTGGCCAGCCGAAAATTTAAATTGCAGTCGGCGCGCCCAAAAGCGCAATTTGATTATGCAATGTTGTTATGCAACGAGTTGCAAAGCGGCGCGAACGTGCCAGCTGAAAATCACATTATATGCCTCTCGCTCCAAATTCTAATGCCAGCAAATCCGTCTCAATGGCACTAGCCAAACACACACACGCAGACATACAGATAGATGTGTATAAATATATATAGTATGCAGAGTGAGATCTTCCCTAGAGCAGGGCAACTATGATAACAATAGCCCTTTGGCTAGGAAGAGCTTGTTAAGATTCGTTAAAAATGCACACACTCAGTAGACACACATACACACACATACAATCACAATACACTCACAAACACACTCACACATGGGCTTGGGCAAAACTTTTTGCTTGTGCAAACAATAAAACACAAATTCGCTTAGCAGCGCAAGCTGAGAGCCGGAGCCAGAGCCCAAACGTCTGAGCTCAGCTCGGTCTGTTCTTGAGGCCATCTATGTAGAAATTTGGCCAGAAAAAGAAGAGGAAGACGAAAAAAAGCGAAGAAAATAAACTGAAAACTTTTTTCTGCTTTTGCACATTTGCAGGGCTTTGAGGACGAGATACACACAGTGGTCATACAAGCGTTGAATGCATTCGATAAGATATTTCCGCATGTGGTGTCCAAATATTTGACAGGGCCGCCATGTCATTATCATGCTCATCAGAAGCGACAGCAGTTGCAGCAGCCAAGTGGACAACAAAAGGGTCCCGGCCAGGCCCAAACATTTGGCCAACAAACTTTTCCAAAGAATCTGGATAATGCCTTAAGCAGTCAGCAGCAGCAGCAGCAGCACCAGCACCAGCACCATAACCGGCAGGAGCAGGAGCAGCAACAATGGCACTCTAACGATGACAACTCGAGGGCAGATGAGACCAGGATGTGTGCCAGGTCGTCAGCCACTGATAATGATGAGCTGCTAGCTGCTCTTTTGAATGATTTTCAATTGCAATCGAAACGCTTGCAGCAGCAGCAGCAGCAGCAGCAGCAGCATCAGCAAAACTCCAGCAACAACAACAACAGCATTGCCCCATATAATGAGCCTGGCCCCTGCTGTGTGTTTGCCATTTCACCGAAATTGCTCTTGAACAAACTTCGCTTGTGTCGTCACAATAAATACTGGTTGGTCCAGAATAAATATGCCGAAGTTATTTCCAATTTAAATTACGTACTGCTACGCTCCTACTACGCAAATTTCGATTGTGCCTTTGACAACAACAACAACGGCTATGATATGGAATTGGAGTCGAAAAATCATTGTGCAGCCTCCTCCGTTGGATGTAACTGGAAAATGGCTGCTAGCGGCAAGGACATTGTCTGTACTTATGAGGTAAGCAGCTAAATCGCCTTATTGCAACCAAAACAACAGCAATAAACAAAAAATAAAAACGGAGTCTCAAGTATATATCTCTTAAGTCTGGCCAGCAGCTGTTTGGCTTGTTTATTGTGTAGATTATTATTTTTTATTTTATATATGTATGTACTTTTTTTTTTGGTTCCGCACTCCTGGCAAATGCCTTCAAAAGCAATTGAAATGAGCCCAAACGCCCCCAGCTCCCTGCGCCCCAGCCAGGCGTGGGCAACATCCTCTTATTGAACTTTTGTGCATTGAAGTGTGGCTCTTTGTGCATCTCTGCAGACTGCCCCCAATACGATCCGATCCGGCTGACAGTTTGTTTTGCTTTTAGACTATCTCACAGCGTATTTATGTACACATAACATACATGCATGCACACACATGCACATACATACAAGTATACATAGAGACATATATACTCCGTATTTGTTGATTTATTATATTGAGAAAGCCAAGCAATTTGCTAAATGGTAAAAAGGGACGTACTCCGTACGTGTACACAGACTGAAGACTTAGCAAACAATTGTGAGCCGTGCGGCGGTGCGTGGGGGCACATATTTGTGTGTACGTGTGTGTGTTGCCACATGCAGCGATAAAAGTGGAAATGACACTTCGCCGGGGGAACGAAAAGCCTTTGATTGAATATCTCAGCGCCAAGCGAAATGTTTCACAAGGAATTAAAATAAATGAAATTGAAACTTAATAGCATTCAATACTGAATGGATAGTAGGTATAATTTAATAACCAATGCAATGATTTTAATTGCTAACAACAATTTAGTCAGAAAAGCAATTCATAAACGGCTAAAGCGCAGTCCATTTACAGTTAGGCATCGAAGCCTGCTGACGTTCAAAAATGGTAATATAAAATCGGATAAATTAAATATTCCAGTGCAATATAAATGTTGTCATTTGCATATGCATTTCATGTTCAAAATGATAAACATACATTTGCAACAAATATTGCTCAACTCTTAGGTTACATATGATATTACACAGATTAGTGTAGGGCCAAGTTTTTGGGAACATATCCGACTACATTTTCCATCATGAACCTGTTTTTTTTTTTTTTTTTGGTGGAGGCAAACACATCCGTTGGTAGTGGCTGGCCGTATGAAAAGTTGTAAGTTGAAAGAGTTGTTGCCCGGATGCAACCACAAAATTCAACAGCAGCAGGTAGAAAACGTGGGAGTGAGTGTGGGTGTGGGCGTGGGTGTGGGTGTTGTTTTTAACGGGAAACGGCAATATGAAAACTTGGCTCTGGTTTTTGATTTACAAGCTGCAGTCAACTAACTTGGAAACGCTTTTCGATCCCTACAGGCTCAATTCCTGGACGAACTTATGCAGCTGCTGGGCGACGATGATGCCCGTGTAAGGGAGCAGGCCGCCCACAGTCTGTGCCGCTTTATAATGCAAACAGCGCGCCAACAGGAGCTAACAACAGCAGCAACAGCAACAGCAACAGCAACAGCAATACGAATTGAGGAAGGCAACATGAATGCTGAAACTCAACAAACTAATTTCAATTTGCTTTGGGATTTTTTCGACTATCGCATATTTGGCAGCATGTCCGTGACGTTGCGTAATTTATTCCGGGCTAGCTCAGCGATTGCCTCGCCAATGGCAGCCCTGGATGCCGGAGGGCACGGTCACGGGCCGTATGCTGCCACCGCAGAAGCTGTTGTTGGTGTTGGCGGCGGTGGGAGTGGCGGTGGTGGCGGCACAGCGATTGGTTTGGGCGGTTCTGCCGGTGGTGCAGCCGCTGCGGCGTCGGCCTACTTTGATGGCAGTTACGGTGACGGCCATGTTTTTGCCTTTGGATTTCAACGTCAAATTGCGCAAGAGGAAAAAGTTTTGGCCAAAGTTTTGTATCGCATGACAAATAAATTGATGACGCTCAATGATAAAAATTTGCAGGTAAATATTTGTCTGAGCTCAACGACTGCCAGCCAACCCGATTGAAATCCAACAACATTTCTGCTCTCAATCCATTCGACAGTTTGGCATAATTAACGCGCTGCGGCTGCTGCTAAAGCACTTCAATTTTGTGGACTATCAACAGGCCTGGACAGAATTTAATTTTATTGAAATCTGCATGAGTTACGCGTATTACAACAGTGCAACAGCTGGTGACTTGAATTGCCAGAACGATTTGATTGATGTGATGGCCAAATTAATAGCAGGTAAGTGCCGCGCCTACACAGACACAGCCATAACCTTAAATTTGAAAATGTCTTCAAATACTATATTCAATTTTGTATCTTCCATGAACCCACCCTCAATTCAAATCCAACTAAAATACAAACAGATAAATAGATATATGATGAAATTTAATCTCATATCCAAATAAATATGTATAATATATATAAAACATAATAGATATATTAATATATACATTTTACTTCAATACATAGATAGACAAATAAATATAATATATATAAATAGATAAACAGGGATGTATATAAAATGTTTATATAGATCTTCATAGATATTTTTAGTGAATTTTGAAATGTCGCATCAACATTTGAGGCATTAAATTATTAAGCATTTAAAACAAGTAATAATAGAGTATTGTAATTTTAATCTTTACTTATTTATTCACATCCGTTCATTAAACCGTTTGGACCACTTCGAACCACTAAATAGTGAAAATAATAATAATAAAAAAAATAAATGCATTGAAAATTTGTTTTTAATTGTATTGCATTGCACCAAATGCCAAAGAAATAATCATATAAATCATTTTAATTAATTGTTTGTCATTAAATGAATTTACATAAATATTTTTATGCTATCCGTGGTACTTGGCGGTGCTATATTCCAATGCTCATATATATATATATATATATATATATATATATTTTTTTTTTTAATTGTGATTTTTTTGCATCATTTTAATTGTAATTTTAATGAAGCAAACGCGCAAATTAGCATAAATATTTTTAATTTTCTATAGGCATAATAATTCAATTTGTGTACAATTTATTTATTTGTCCCCCTCTTTATAAATTACCAAAGTCATAAAAACAGGATTGTTATTGTTAACATGGGTAGACTAGGCTATAGACTAATATCAGAGATGAGAGACATTCCTGTACTCTTCTACATGGAATTTGATCGATTAAATAACTATAAATATTTGTAAATGCATGGAATTGTGTAATCACATAATCAAATAATCATATGTAGGAACTCTGATTATTCCACTAAAATATCTCGTATCAAATTACAATTACCCGTAATTATGTGCACTGTAAGCTAGATTAATAGTTTTTTCTGTCACTATTTAACATATTGATTCATTATTCGATCAATTTGATATGCGAATTGGCAAACCGAGCCCTCAAAGCCCTTAATAGTTTCACATTGAAATATTTGACATCAGCTTGGTAGCGTATAATTAAATAATTTTCAACAGAGCCATTAATGGAGTGCTCTCGCTCCACAGCTTCCAGCCAAATGTGCCAACAACAATTAAAATCGGAAACAACAACAATAACAACAATGACAACCGATACGATTTGCAAGCTAATAAACATTTTAATTCAATTTACCAAATTGCATAAACCAGAAAACCAAACTTCAACATAATTTCATTAATGGCTTTTTATATGGGGCCCACGCATAGCCACGCCCATTGTCAAACTGTTTTCGCTGTCAGCGGCAAGTTTCGAGTTTCCATAATGATTTTTATTTATTTATTTATTTTTTATCCTGAACCCATTGAAAATGCGAAATCAAGGTATAATGGTTTTGTTAAACGTTTTATAACAAGCAGATGTAGGAGGCGTGGCAAACCGATTTAGCGCTGTCCGTTTTCTCGTTTATTTGTATGTGTGAAAGCGTCAATCTTAGAACTTATAAGAGCTAGAGCAACTGAAAAATTTTGGTAGGTCTGTGTATAGAACCCGCAGATCGAGTTTGTTTCAAAAAGTCGACAACTACTGTTGTTTTAGTGCTATCAATTAAAACTCTTATCCATTTTGCTTATGCGGAAGTAAAGAAATTTGGGAGTACCAGTCCGTAGAAAGGTTCAGGGTATCTCATAGTCGAGCAGTTCGACAGCAGTTCGACTAGAGTATTCTTACTTATTTCTATTTTTTTTTTTTTTTGTTTATTTTTATTTTCCATTTTTTTTGTTTTTATATGTCCGTTTGTCAGCCGCGTATTTGCAATGCGCTAATGTAATCCACCATAATCAAAAAGTAATTAAATTATTAATAAACCATTAAATGTAAAATAGTTTTCGTACCACTCGCACCATGTAGCGAGTGCCCCATGCTTAGCTGCCCCTTTCGTGCGTTTCGTGCTCACCGCAGCCAATGCAATTTGCATTTGTGCATTTTTGCATAAGCAAATAATTTAATTTTTAAGCCGTGAGCGCTTTCGCACCTCCAACTATGGCCCAGTCGTGTAATATATAAATATTTATACATGCACATACGCTTGGGTGTGCGTGTGTGCGTGTGCGCAGGCTTTATCTGAGCATCGATTTCAAAACAAAATCGCCAAATGCCTCACGGATGTTTGGTGAGTGTTTTGTGATAAGTTTTGACAGTATGCAAATCATATTGTTGACATGTGAGCGATAGCGCAAAGCTTTCAAATGGAGAATGCACGACGATGACATACCCTAAGGAGTTGTTTATCTGCAAAGTAAAGCAATTAGAAATATACTTTAATTGTATTTAATGAGGCCGATCTGTGCTGCTTAGAATTAAAGCGCTTTGATTCTGGAAATAAGATTTGTAGTAATATTAGATTATTACGATACCTTTGAATATGTTTACTATAATTAGTCAATACTAAATTTGTACTTTCTCTTGACAATTTAGGATTGCTTTGAATCATACTAAAAGCCTAGAGCACCTCTCTTCATATATCCTCATTGCTATCTATTTTATGTATGTATATAGAGCTTCCCAAACACGCTTTAAGAGCTAAAATCCTTTTGTTCGATTGTTCTTCAAATTGTAGCTGAAGCATATGTATTAAAGCTGAACAACTTAAAGAGCCAACAGCCAATAGCCGATATCTTCCCCGCGCAGTTCACACAGTCATTTTATTTATGCGCAAATTGTAATGCGACGCATTATGAGTGGAATTAATGCAGTCGTTTTCAGTGCGGCGCGAGCTCATTTGTGAAATGTTCAATTAAAATGAGAATATGCTGGATTGGTTGTCTATAAATGCTGGACTGATAGCCCAAGTGTATATCAAATTGACAGCAACTGACGGCATGCGTCCTGCTGCTGCCTGACTCCGTTGAGCTGAGCCGTGCTTGGCTGTCTCCTGGCATTAATAAAAATAATATTACGCATACGCACCGTGCGACCGTGGTGCATAATAAGTATGCATTTATTTATTGTTTACTCCCTCACTCAAACTTTATCTCACTCTCTCTCGCTCTCTTACTCTATCGCTCCCTCTTTAACTTTTGTAATAGTATAAATATTTTAAAGTCAAGTTGGAAATTCGATATTGGCAAATTCTTGTGTTGCTTGCCGCAGAGCCGTGGCGCAATCGAACTATTGTTCTTTACTCTGCGCCCACATAAATATAAATTAGCTGCAGAATTGTGGCATCGTCTCATTATATGAAATTTTCAATTAATTAGTAAATGTAATGCAAACTTCGGAGCCTGCCCTTAGCCCTGCCACGGCCACGGCCCCACCTGTGCTGGCTGGCACCGCTGGCACCGCATTGTCGCCGCTCGACGAGCTGCTGTTGTTGTTGTTGTTGTTTTTAATGGCTCCCCGAACACTTAATTTTTATAAATATTTATGCGAATACAATTTAATTTATTTGCGCAAAAAAAGAAGAAAAAATAATAATAATAATAATAAAAATTTGCTTCCATTTTCTTTGCGCGGACAAATGAAACATTTTTTGGTATTTGCTAACGTTGCAATATTGACACGTAAATTGAAATGCCCCTATACATGCACCCACACACACACACACACACATTTATATATATTAAATGATTGCATATAAATCATGGCGTATTTTGAGGCATTTTCCGCTTGTTGCCTATGCCTTGTTTGCTTTAATTTAACATTATTTGTTTGCCTTCGATATTTGTATAGTTGTGTGTGGAATATCTCACACCTCTCCCCAGTTCTCTCTCTCCCTCTCTCTCTCTCTCTCTCTCTCTCTCGTGCATATTCATTAAATCGCTTTTTAATTTACCGCGCTGCAATTGCACGATATTCGTACATTTTAAAGTATCTGTTCAACATTTAAACACAATTGGCTGGCTTAATTTGTCATTAATATGCTGCGAATACTTACCACACCCACCCACACTTTTCGCTCTTCCCCTTGCAGGCGGCATGTTGAGCACGGGCGAGGCGCCACCCGCTGGCCAGCTGGAATTTCTGCTGCGTCACTGCGTCAAGCTGCTCAACATTTACTATCATCTGGTGGGCAATCAGCGCCCAGCGCAGCCGAGCGGCAGTAGCAGCAGCAGCGTAGGAGGCAGCAGCAGCAGCAGCGCAGGAGGTGGCAGCACCACCGGCAAGCCACCCAAGGCGGGCAAGAGCGAGCTCTTCTCGCTGAGCGGCGTTGGCAGAGAGTCGCAGGCGACGCTGCAGGCGATGGGTTACTTTGCCAGCGATTACGTTTACATGAAACTTTACAACATTTTAAGAGGTGCTAATGACAGCTACAAGGTAAGTCAAAGCCTCAGGTGAAGACAGCGGGCGCGCTCTCTGGCGGGGGCGTGGCGCCATTAAGTTGCGGCTGCTGTTGGCGCTGCAAATGGCAAAAGTTCCTGGGGCACGTGCACCGAGATTTACCAATTCTTGCATTCTGCTCCGCGCGACTCCAATTGCACGCTGCACGTACAACGCAATGCGCCGTTTTATATGCAACACTTTTGGGGCAATGCCGCAGCTCCAGCCGCCACGCAATGAGTTGTAAAAAATGAAATGCTGGCAACGTACTCGACTCTTGACTTCAACTTTTTGACTCGTCTTGCCACTCGCCGCGACTGGCATTAGGGCGTGGCCAATAAAAAGCCAAGGCTTTTAGCAGCTTGGCTCCTGGGCTAACACACTCTGAGCCTTCGCTCTGTCTCTTTGCTTGCAGATAACCATAAATCAGGATGCTGGCGGCTTATTAATTTGCCTGCTGAAGAGTTGCCTCAACGCGCTCAGCCTCTGCCTGGAGGCATCAATGCCACCGCCGCTGCCTGCAACGGCAACGGCAACATCAACGGCATCGGCAACGGCAAATGCCCCGGCTCTGAAATTAATTGAAGAAATACTACAGTATTTGACCAGGCTCATAAATTATGCGCCCGGCGAGTGTGTTGGCTGTCTGCGGCAACTGTTGAAATATTTATTTGGCCAAAATTATGCCAGCCAAGTGCAGCAGCAGCCCCACGGATACCATGCCACATTTGTGCGTCCCTACTTTGTGGCCAAGCACGATGCCAGCGGCGCATCCACATTGTTGCCACCAGCAGCCGTAGGCTCGACAGCGGCAGCAACAGCAGGAGCTACAGCAACAATGCAACAACTAACTGCAACACAGGCAACACTGGGCGCTCTATTCATGCGGGGCATGCAGCCGGATACGCCGCCAGCGGCTGACTGCGTCCGGCTTATAAAGCTTTTCGAGCCGCTGGTCATCTACTGTTTGACGGTGAGTGGCGGATTGCTAATTAATTTTAGTAGTTGCCAATTTGTTTGATTAAAAATGCGCCGACACAAAAGCCACCTGCTACAGGTGCATGCAGCACGCATCGCACTCTCTGTGTGTGTGAGTGTGTGTGGGTGTGTGTGGGTGTGTGTGTATGTACACGTATGTGCGTGGCATGCATTCATATTTTATTTATGGCAAACATTTGCATTGCACTCGTATTCAATGCATTTCCTCTCGCCCACAGCTCTTCATGAAGTCCAATGCGCTCATACAGGCGCCCATATTGAAGTTGCTATCGCAGCTGCTGGACCTAAATGTTACCTACAGCATTTTAGACTCAAAGAGCGTCATTTTTGAGCAAATACTAAACAGTTTGGACCTAATTGAAAATGGCATCGACAGGTGAGTGCGCTTTGATAGCCACACGGTGTGTATTTTATTACGCAGTGCTCACATTAGAAATTCAAATTATGTGATTGCTGCTCTGCTCTGCAAACGCTGTAAATTATATTGAAGTTGCTGCAAATTAAATTATTTATAGTAGAAAATTAAATTTTGTGATTTAATGTGTCATAATATAATAGAAAAGGTTATGTTCCGGTCAACTTTTCTGGTTGGGTAAGAGTTGGAGTTGAAGAGGTGATTCAGAATTCAGGTTAATGAGATTTTCAGTATACCATTTTCATAGGTTAGTATATTCGCCAGTTATAGCTGCAACCCAGAATATATATTTTAATAATTTTTAAAAGATACCCAAAAAACCCAAGTATGTATAAAACATACAATTTTTCATATACAATAGATACTAATTATCCTTGATGTAATTTCTCAGCCAATATCTATATTGATCTATCTCTAATACTCCATCAACATCCACAGCATATTTCTTAAATTTAATCTTGCTTCACTTGACCTCTCCCCTACAGAAATGCCGGCATTATAGTGCCCGTTATGCTGAAGTTTCTCATGCAGCTGACCCATAAGAGCGACCGTCCGCTGATAACCATACCGAAGATCATAAGCGTGACCAACAATCTGTTGGCCAATGGAGCAGTGCGGGATGTGGCGCTGTTGGCGCTCAAAACGCTCAGCTACGAATTGTTCTTTATGCACAGCCCCCTCGATGAGGACGAGCAACAGCAACTGCAACAGCAACAGCAGAGAGGCAGCTGCCAAAGTCCATTAACGGCGGTCGCTACGCAGGACACAAAGGAGGCGCTGCTGGCGCAACGGCGCGAGCTGGACACACAGAAGGAAGTTGTGCTGGGCATGTTGGAGAAGTTTGTTGATGCGCGAGTTGTGCAACAATTGCTGGCGCTGTTGCTGCTGTACGAGCGGAGCCTGCAACAGCTGGACGCGCCGAAATATCTAAGCGCACAGGATGCGAACGTCCTTTATGGCTTACTGTGTCGCTCGCTGGCCACCGGACAGCTGCGCCTGCACACATTCGCTGATCTGCGGCTGTTGGAGAGCTGTTTTCGCAACAATGGCAGCTATGTGCTGGCTGACAGCAAGGAATTTCTGCAATTGCTGCAGCTCTTCATCGAACAGGTGAGCACAATGCCAGAAAGTTCACAGGCGGCCAGTAAATGAATTCCAAATGAACGGAGTGCAGTCCAGGTGCTTGAAGTCCTGCGGTCACGGCACTTCTTTTGCTCATAAATATGCGGCCATCAAATGCCCTCTTAAGCACTTGCAACTCTCAAATCTCTTAAAATATTGATGGCACACAGCACGAAGTTGTGCTGTCTCGCATTTACGATAGCATTGAAATGCATTTGTCTCAGCATTTCATTGTTGAATAGCGCCTATCCCCTCACACTCTGCTAACAGCATGAACTAAGTGATATTATCTTTCATCGCAGGCATTTGAAATGACAATTACAATATATGCTGCTTGGCATACAGCTTCCGTTTGCTGTTCAAGGCTTCCTTCGATGCATATCGCCTGCAGCTGCCAATTTCTAGCACTGTTGTCAATTACTCAAGCATGCACTTTGGGACAGAGCAGACAGCTAAATAAATTGAATAATTGACATGCATTGCCAAATTACGTACATTTCTAATGCATTCTTGACGCATCTCAGATTATCAACTTTAAATTGTCATCTTTTAAGCCGATTAAGACTTGTAATCATAATAATATCAGGCACTGTCATGAATTCAACATAGTTGTAATCTGCATTAGAGATCAAGTAACTTGAGCTATATCAGCATTGCAGTGATTTGTATTTAATAACATAAGTCGGATTATCGATTTAAGTAGAGGAAGGCAGAGATAGAAGAGAGATTACTGAAGACTAAATACTCGGGCGTTAAAATTAGTAAAGACTAAATTCTTTGATAAACAGATAGTGGAGCAGCCTCAGCTTTCTCTTAAATAAGTTTGAGAAGTAAGATAAGTAAGGAAACTCTAGTCGAGCTTTAAGTTTTTTACCTCTTATAGATTATGAGATCGACGCATTCATACATATGAAAGGAAGATATATACAAATGGATAGAGCTAAATTGATTCAACTCGCTGTCTTGATAAATAACATATGTACATATATATTAAAATGCTATCATGTCTCTTGGGTACAGATTTTAACAAACGTACACAAACATATGGTTCTATCAGCTCAACATATTTAATTACCTTATTATAGGAACTACATAGATATACAAAAAAATATGATAGAAATGAAAAGTATTGTGATTATTATTTCAGGGATCACAATTGATGTGTTGGTATGAAAGCCATTTAATAGTATCGCATAGCGATTTGTATATCAATTTAATTGTCAGCCGGCTTAGAACTTTGCTGTGCTGCTCTGTGCTTATTTCAGCTGTTTGCCACACGGTGTTGCACGTAAAGTAGGCACTGCAAATGGTTCATTTAACACTCGTGCATCAGTTGGCCTCGTGTGGCCTGTGGCTGCCTGGACGGGAGCTACTCGTATATGGGGGGGTGTGGCAACTGGGGGCTGGTTGTTGGCGTGTGGGTTCATCAGCGATTTGTCATTTCCCCTCCTCCTTTCACCTGTCCGGCAATGCGCTTGCTTATTTGCATTTACATGCACACGAATGCACTTTGTTGCTCTTGCGGCATATATATATACATATATACATATAAATACATACGTTTATATGTGTGTGTACTTTTTTTTGCCTCTGGTGTTGCTGCTGTTGCATGTGGCGCCGTAGTTAATGTGGCACATGTCGTATACGTGACATTTTTAATACCTACGCTTCAACGCCGCACATTTTCAACTATTAATGCGCATTTAAGCTACACATGCATTAACTGTCGCCCTGCGAAGACCTGTCAGACCAGATCCCAGACCCGGCTCCTGCCCTTGGCCATAGCTGAATTGGGCCTGAGGCAGGAGCAGTAGCAGGAGCCAGCCCGTGCCCGTGCCCGTTGCCACTCGCAACTTAATTACATAACAAATACACTTGTGTGTGCATGTGTGTGTATGTGTGTACGTGGACACTTACTTACATACATGTGTAGCGACTTGTCCAGCTCGTGCTCGGCTCATATCCTTTGACACAGAAATGCATCACACGTCTAATGCTCGGAACTAAATCGTTAACTTTCGAGCCACGGTCCATTGATAAATATTTTGTTGGCTCCGGCTGGTACTCCACTTCAATTTATTAACGCAATTAAACAACACGGCTGTAAAACTTTAACCAATTACAGTTTATTTAATTTCATGATGAGCCGACAAAAATTAAAATAAAATTCAGTAAAAATTTAACAAGTAGGGAATGACTGCGTAGGATATACTCTGCAATGGGTCTTATTTATTTATTTATTTATTATTTTTTTGGCATGACAATGAATTTATTTACTTTGTATTCATTCCAAAAAATTAACAAATAGTAGGGAAATAATATTAAAAATAAATTTAGGGCACAATATTTGCTTAAATTTGTTAAAATGATAAGTTTATTTTGTAAATCAATTACAATTATCATAATGAACCATTTCCAACTGAGAATATCTAGATTTATGTGTCTCCCACTAATATCCGCCTATAATGAAATTGATATACAGATCCAATCATAGAAAATTAGATTTAGATCTGTCTACATAAATAGCGGAGCCACTATACTACATATAAGCTCCTGTTCGCTCTTTGTGGATCATTGCAGATTTACAGGGTATTGAATGGTTATCAAACCACGCACTTTCTGCCAGCCAGGTAGGCATGAGTAATTAAGTCGGGCAATGAGCGTATAAGTCAATGCACGACTGGCTGAGCAGCAGCCTTACGCACACATACACACAAACTACATACGCTGTGTGTGTGTGTGGCTGTGTGGGTTGGCAAAACTTTATAGCATAAACATTTTAATTGAAATTGAAAATGCGCCACAACTTAAATAACATTTTGCGTGTAAATATTAAAAATGCAACCAGGAGGCGTTTCACAAAAAAAAAAAAAAAGAAGCTTATTTGGAAATTAAAAGCTAGCAAATTTAATTGCATTGCAGGCAACACCAGAAGTCGGTGTGTGTGTGTGTGTGTGTGTGTGTGTGTGTGTGTGTGTGTGTGTGGGGAGTATCCTTCTCTAATTACTGCCGGAAAATATGTTGATGTTGTCGTTGGCAACTTTGTTACTGCAATTTATGCAAAGTTTCACACTTTGCCGCCCTGTGGACGGCCCCTCTCTTTCCACCTCTCCTCCTCTGAACTAACATTTATCCCTTTCTTTCTCCTGCAGGACGTTGGCAACTTTGGTGATTTAGCGCTGGCAATGATTACGCTGGCAAATGTAATTCTGAAAACCGAAGAAATTTATCTGGTGAATCACATAAAACTTTATTTGAAAAATAATCCTCAGGCCGAGCAGGCCGCAGCAGCAGCGGCAGCAACAGCAGCAGCAACAACAACAACAACAGCAGCAGCCACACACTGGCAGGATGAAGCACCTTCGACATCTTCGGCAGCCGCTGCCGCCAGAGCCAGCGCCGCCGCCTCCACACGAGCCACGCCCCGTCCCGCCATAAGCGAAATTAACTACTTTGCGAAAGTTTTGAGCGAGAAGCTGTTGGGCTGCCTGGATGCGCTATTGGCCCTGGGCACTGGCTGCGACTTGGGCTCGAGCCCGGCCAGCCTCGCCTATTGCCAGCTGGCTGGGCGATTCGTTAACGCGCTGCACAATGTTTGCTGTCGCTCACGGCACAAGGATGCGCTGCAATCAGTTTTTCGTTTGGTTTTGGCCGAATCCGAGCTCCTCTGCAAATACTACAATCTGCTCCTGATGAGCGCCGCCGGCGGGGATGCCCTGGAGCCCGTGCTGCTCGGCTGCCAGCAGCTGATGCTGTCCATGCGGCTGCTGGAGCCCATGGTGCTGCTGGATCAAGCAGCCGAGCTGCCGCTAAAGTGGAGCCTGCAGCGCGCCATGTTGAGCGAAGTTTGCCGTAGCACTGCGGTAAGTAGCGGACTGGACAAAGGGTTTGTTGCGATGGCACAGCTAGTCGCACATTAGTTTAATTTGAATTTGGCAGCTGATTCGGCCACTGGCTGTGCCGCAAGCACCAGCAACAGCAGCAGCAGCAGCAGCAGCAGGAGCAGGAGCAGAGTGAGCTTTGGCTAGCTGACAGTTGTCGTGCTCGTAATTTTGCGGTTCACCGCGTCGGGTTCGGTTTTTGGTTTCCGGTTTCTGGCCACTCTCTCTCTCTCACTCTCTCTCATGGTCATTTAAACAGTCTGGCTTGGCTTTAAGCTGTGCTCAGTGCCGCGCATTATTTTAATAGATTGCCACTCGAACATGCGCCACTTGTCGGCACTAATGGCTCCGCTGGGCCACGCCCATGCTCGTGGGGGCTCCGGCTGGGGGGTAGGGGCTTTTTTGCAACCAACAAGCGAATCACAACCAACTAATTGCAGGCAATGGATTGGAGTCCGCAACAAGTGCGTCGCCTGTGCGCCGGCAAGTATCTGAATTTCCTAATTGCTGACCACTTGGAATTCCTTTGCGAGCTCTGCCAAGTGCGTCCCGAGTGCGGCTCATTACTGCTGGCAGCGCTGGTCCGTCAGGCGCACAACTTGAACAAAGTGAGTTGAAATCCTTATATTTTGCATTACAATGAATTCATTACCCGCTCCAATCGGCCTTTGTTCGCTGCATTCTTTGGTTTCTGTTCTGTCTCCCTCTCGATCTGCCAGCACTCGATACGCAGCACCTTGCGCCTGTTGAACTACATTTGCGTACCGCAACAGCAGGAGGAGGAAGATGTGGATGTGGCGACTACCACACTGCACTCCCTGCAGCTGCTTAGTCGGCTACATCAGCTACACGACGGCCAGCGAGCACTGCAGCTGCCCATGGAGCGGCTCTCCCGACGACTGACGGCCCAGAGCAGCCCGGCCATCAGGAACAGCATCTACGAGCAGCTGGTGCAGGGCGAGCTGGCAGGAGGCGACGACCAGGACGAGCTGCGCACTATGCTGTGAGTAGATCATTTCAATTAATATCGTGCCACACTGCCCATAAAGAAAACAACAAAACGGAAACAAATAGAAAACTAATACGAATTCTGTTAGATTTGCAATTTCTGATTCACTCGATCCGAGATACTTAACTGAACTTGCCAATTTTCCAATTTACGCAGCAAGCGAGTGAAAATGCCAATTGCAAAGTAAATCGAATTAGGGTAAAACTCACAAATGCACAAAATGCAAGGCAAATCCCTTTCTAGGGATTTTGGGGTTCGCACACAGCCGAGAGCAAAGTAATTGAGGGGCAAAGAAGAGGGGCTGGAGAAATTCGCAATTGTTTTCTGCAAGTGTATTTGCTGTTCGATGTTCATTGTTCGTAGCTGGCCTGACTTAAATTGCATGTTTTACATATTTTTATTTGATGGCAGGCTGAAGGACCTGGAGTGCCCACAGGACAATAGTCCGGCTGCAGCAGCGCCGCGCATAATTGATGAGAGCTGGCTCTTTGGTCAGGTAAGTGCTTTCTCCACTTAGCTCTGCGTTTGGCTAATTTATGTGGCCCGCCTATGCTCTGCTCTACTCTGCTCGCGCCATTGTGAAACGTTGCCATTTGCTTTGTGCCTCCGCAGCTAATCAAATTTGCCACGCAGCACGCTGATGCGCCGCAGCAGCAGCAGCAGCTGATGCGGCTGCTGCTCGAGATTCCATCGGAGGCCAAGCTGCAGCGTGTGCTGCGCAGCCTGGGCCCCGCGCAGGAAGCGCGCCTGCTGCGACACGCCCTCGACGGCGCCCTCTCCTCGATGGTGGTCAGCTTCAGGCAGAAGTGCATCCAGCATGCGCCACACATCAACTACATGCAATTGCCGCCCTTGGCGCGTGTGGCCTGTGCATCGCTGATGACGCGCCTGGCCCAGCCGCCGACGCAGCTGGCTGTGGGCAGTGCCGAGCAATTGGATGTGGCCCGGGCGCTGACCGCGCTGCTGTTGTCCATTCAACGCCTCGAGCAAACGGCGCTCATTTACATCGATGCCAAGCACATTGAAAAGTTTGTGGCCGAGCACTTGCTGCGCGCTGAGCAGCTGCCCGTGCTGCTGACCTATGGGCGTGGCCTGGCCAGCGTGGCCCTGCAACTACTGGAAGCTGTTAGCGATCCGGATGATGGTCTGTGCGTGCTGCTGGGCTGCCTGGACGCCCTGTTGCAGCAGCCACGCATCTGGTGGACGCTCAATGCCAGTGCAAATGAGTTGCGTGTGGAGCTGCTGCAAGTGCCGGTGCGCGTCGCTTGCCACATGCTGCAGGATACAATTTTCTATCAACGGCATCGTCTGCACAGCACCGAGCCGGCACCGCAAGCCATTTTCCTGGCCAAATTGATTGAAACGCAAATTGATATGGAATCCATGCTGCAGGCCGAAAACGAGAATATTCGCTCGCCTTTCGCCGGCCATGAGCTGGCGCCGCTGCAAGTGCCGCTGGTAAGTGACAAACTGGCTCGCCCAGCCTTCCTGGCTGCAACAACTAACATCGCTCTCCCACTCCCACACACCTTGCAGCCGCTTATCGCCTCCATTGGCACCTCGCTGCTGCGCACACATCAGTTTTACGCCTACGCAGTGACACCTTACGAGCTCGTCCAGCAGCAGCAGCAGGAGCAGCAGCAGCAGCAGGAGCAGCAGTCGGCAACGGCTGCTGGCGGCAATGGCAAGCTGCCCACAATACCAGTGGATAGCCTGAGTGATGTGGATGTGCTGCGTCAGTTTGTGAAGCGGTGAGTAGAGCTGCTGGCAACTTGTACTGCTAATTAACTGCTTAGATTGCTGCCTGTTGCTGTGGGTTACCTGGGGCCACTTGGGCTATGATTTTCTTGAAGACTTCAACTGATATGCATGACTGACCAGCAGAAGCAGCAGGAGTAGCAGCAGCAACAGCAACGACAGCAGCAGTACAATTATTGTAGGTACAACAATAAAAGCAACGACAATTGTTGCTGCTGACAATGCTCTGACAGGCGCTTGGCAGCAACATGCAGCGTTGACGACAATGTGAAATGTGTATAAGGACAACAGTGGCTAAACTGCGACTGAAAGCAACAGTATCCTGTGTTAGATGCAGTTTGCATGTGTATGTGCCCGTGTGTTGTGTGTGTGTGTGTGTGTGTGTGTGTGTGTGTGTGTGTGTGTGTGTGTGTGTGTGTTGTGTTTGTAAGCTGTCATTGTCATCGGAGTACTTATGTCCGCTGTCGGCTCGTCCGTCGTTTTGTCCTTGACTGAGCGTTGCTTGTTTGCCTCGTCCTTGTCGAATGACAGCTTCCACATCGTTGCTGCTGCTGCTGTTGCTGTTGCTGTTGCTTCTTCTGTTCTTGTCATTGTTAGCAGTCGTCATCATTACGCTGTCAGCATTTGAATTGTCATCAGCCAGAGATTGAGTTTGTGCGCCTGACCAGCCTAAAAGTTGCACGCATCGCAGCTCTGCCTTTAAAGCATCAGACGCGCAAAGCATTTTTCGTAGCATGCCAAAAGCGCAGACATCAAAACCACATCAGCGGCATCAGCAAAGGAACCACCCAGCATCGCACCACACACTGTACAGCGGCAGCCGCACAACCAGCGCCCAGCCCGCGGCAACGTCAAAATCCCCCAAAGGGCTGCTAGAGCGGAACATCAACAGCTCTATTAGATGAAACTGTGACGACGCAGAGATGGCGCTGTGACAGCCGGGGACAGGACATGCCAGGCTTGTGGGCAGGACAGGGTGAGGGCCTGGTGGCTGGTGGCACTCGCGTATAGACAAGCACTTTGGACTCGAAGGCAAGCACTGCGGGTTGGGATTTCAGTTTATATGTGGTGGGCGGTGCGAAACTGAAAGATATAGCAACAGCAGCAGCAGCAGAAACATCATCAGCAGCAGCAACAGCAGCTGCAGCAGCAGCAGCGCAACGAAGGCAGCCAGCGATATAAACAAATTATGAGCAGCAAAGTGAGATAAATGCATGTGTGCGTGTCACAGACAAAGAGCGTGCGAGCGAGATGCAAAAATCAGCAGCCAAAGGGCGCCGCATGTGGGGATTCAGTTCGCTGCTGTTGCCTCACATAGTTGCTAATTGTGCACAAACCGCTGAACGCAGCCAGCAGCAGCAGCAGCAGGAGCAACCAAAGCATCAGCAACAACTTTAGTCAAACAGCAAAATGGGCGTGGCAACGTTGCATATTTGAGAAATAAGCTAGTGGCTTGGCAGAAAGTTAGACGCTTCAAGCGTAACAAAACTAATCAATGGCTAATTGAGATTTTTGGCCTGCTAAATATTTGAGAAGCTCAGCTAATTGAATTAAATTTGCAAAGGCTTTTTGTTGACAACAAGCTGAATTTATATTTGTGTGTGTGTATACACATTTGCCTCGCCCTTCTCTCTCTGTCTCTCCCTCTATATATATACATTGGAATTATTTTTGCCATTCATTAATTATTAAATACGTCTAATACATATTCTAAACTATTTGCCACAGGCTCTCCATATTTGGCTATACAACGCGGCAGCAGTTCGAGGAATACTTCATGACATTCCTGCTGCTGATCAACAAGGTGTACGATGAGCACATGGTCGATCAACAGGAACAGTTCCAGATCAAGCAGGTCTGCCTGCAGGCCATCATGGAGCTGCTGTCAACCTACAAAACTTTCCCCATTGCCGGCCATGGCAACAGCCACTTCTATCACACGACACGCTGGCAGCGCATCAATTGTGACAGCATTAGGTGAGTGCTGCAAACATTTTCCAAAATCTGCAAATGAGCAAAACTCAAATTAATATTCAGCAAGTGGGCGCAAAAGTTTTTAATGCGCAAATAACCAAAAAGCATAAATTAGAAGCGACCATTAAAAGTTACTACCCACAGCAGTTGTGCGAATGTGTGTGTGCGAGTGTGCCAGTGTGTCTGGGTGTGTTTTTGTTGTCCTCCAAGAGGCATGCCACCCATATGCATGTACGTGTATCGTGTCCCCTGACGCATATTATTTTTTAGCAATTACCAAAACTCTGCTCAACTTTAAAAGCACAACTAATTTGTTAACATGCAATCCCTAAAACAATTTGCCCAACAACTTTTCTTCTATATAGTTTTTTTTTTTCTTTTTTTTTACAATCCTGGTTTTTGTGCAGAAGCAAGCACTTAGATGTTGTATTATATATACATATAAATATTTCTCCTATTTATTTAAAATACCTTTTGTAAAGTTTTAGTACCTAGTTGGCAGCAAGCAAAAATGTTTGATAATTATTATTTAACAACACAATATATGTATATGTATATATTTGTTGTTCTTGGACTTCATGAAACCAGAGCCGAGCTATAAAATAAAATTTATCTGCTTCAGGTAATATGTTCGTGCATCATAGGGTAGAACGTGATACGACTTTTAATTAAAAATATGCAGCAAAGCAAACAAACAAATTTGAAACTTTGTCTCTCGAATTGCAGATACCTTGTATGTGGCTAGATAGATGGGATGAACTATAGGGATAGTAGCTTGTAGGTTTAAACAATTTCATTTGCTATAAATAGATGGTAGTTGCTATGGTTGACGTCGATCCGTTATAAGAATCGAAAACATATAAGGAAATTAAGTTATATCTTTATAAATAATAATAATAATAATAATAATAATAATAATAATAATAATGATACATTTCTTAACTGTAAAAAAAAAAAATATACCAGAAATTGAAATTTAGTTAAAGAAACTTATTTCTATGTCTTTTACTATGTCTTATGTCTTTTACTATAATATCAACTCTCACGTCTTCAGCTTGAGTATTATTATATATTTAACTATATATCACATTTAATCAATCATAGATTTTCTTATAAACAACATGCCCTCTAATACTCCTTAAATCGCTTGAACATGAAAATTGTTGCATGTTCTCGGGCATTTGTCGCGTTTTTTGCGCGCATAAAAATAATAAAAATAATTATATATATATATATATATATATATATATATATATATATATATATATTTGCTGAAATTAGTGTGCACGCCGGGGGGCAACAGCTAAATATCACCGAAACTGAAAATGTTGCAAGTTCTTTGCTGTGGCCGCGGGTCAGCAAAACAACAAGTGACTCGACAAGTTAGCGGACAATTGTTTACTTTTAATTTGCATGTGTGTGTGTGTGTGTGTGACACGAATGTATTGCTGCTGTTTTTAACTTCTGCTGCGCTCTTTATCACATCGACACGTCGACAACTTGCAGCGTTTCCCATGCCTCTGACAGTTGAAAATGTGTTTCATTGCATTGCTCAATTCACAGCTTGAAGAAACTGCACAAGGTGCAGCTGCTGGTGGATGCGACGTGCAACGTATTCTACTTAGCCAATCTGGAGCGGCAGCCGAGGGTGGACAATGTGATTGGCACACGCAACCTTGCGGCCAATCAATGCGATCTCAACTTCTGCTGGGCTCTAATGGAGGCGTACGCACAGGCGCCCCCATACGGCGGCGATGTGGCCGGCGATGAGGCGGACGTGGCTGGCAGTGAGGCGGGCAAGCAGCGGCTATCGATGTGGAGCAACAACAGCGTGACTGACGTCAACTGGCGCAACTATCGGCATTTTGTGCAACTGTCTGGCATCGACATACGGAGCAGCACACAGTTGGTCTTTGACGTGCTGCAGCAGATGATCGAGGTAAGTGCCCAGCTGTGGCTGCAACTGCAACAATAGATACTGGCTGGCATAAATGTCAGTCACATGCAGCATAATTTCATTAGAGCAACCAGCTTAACATGCCAATCCGTTTGATTGATTCTCTGAACTGCGCGATGTCCAATTCGCTCGCACTGAAACCTATTGGCTTGTCAGTTTGGCTAATTGGAAATGTCTTAATGCAATTTAACTTTTGTCCATAGCTGAATCACGTCCTAGTGCTGCCCAATCTGGTCAAGTTCTGTGAAATTTGCGAGAGTCGTGATCAAATCAAATGGATTAAGGACCGCACACTGCGACTGCAGGACCAAATCGCCATGGATGACACCATATCGCATGAGGTGGGTGAATACGTAAAGAGAAGCAAATTGACTGCTCGTCTTAGACTGCGTAAAATAATCTTAATTATTACTATAGTCAAATACAAAGTAGAAACTTAATTAAACTATCGGATGAGGGATAAATCTATGCTTTTTTTATTTTCCATAGATAGCAGTATATTATAGTTTATTTTCTTTCCCATATATCTGCACCAAATATTTCCTTTATATGTCATATTCTTCTCATGTGAAAAGCGATGAGTCTATGTACTATATATTTTCAATAGTTAGATGTACTTGTCCTTCAGATAGATTATAGAACAGATAGTTGATTTTATTTTCCAAAAATCTTATCATCTAAAAAGTAACAAATGAATCTATGTACTATATCTTTTCCATAGATGTATGTATCATATAGATAGATTATGGAACATATAGTTTATTTTACTTCAATCTTATTTGATATTGCCTCTATATGTCTTATTATTATCATGTCATATAACACAAGTCCACAATTATGTTTTTCCGCAATAGAATCGCTTAATCAAATGTCGTATAAATAATTAATATTTGTGTTTCAAGATTTCTGAATGCACGCTCTAAATTATTATCTGTCGTTCGCTCTCTTCATATCAGATGTGCAGTTACATCTACCTTGAAGATAATTAATCCCCAGCATCGGTCTTTGTGCCTCAGTTTCTACAGTTTATCCTTCTGTTTTTATTGCAGCACATCATCTACTTGCTGTGCCGCACGCAGGCCCTGCTGATACCCAGCCATGGTGAGCTGCAGCACTTGGCGGCGCTGATTGGGAACGTCTATTTGAAGAGCTCGCATTGCTTCATACGGATTGCGGCGCTCCAGGGTCTGCTTTGTCTGCTCGAATGCTGCAGTCGAACCAACACGGCAATAGGCAAGCTCAGTGATGAACTTGCATTGCTGCGTGACTTAATTGTTGGCTACATCAATCGTCATGGAATCATTGATGAGAGGTAATACACACATGCAAACACTAGCACTCTCATACACACACACACACGCACACACTGAAATACAAATTCTGTTTTTGGCCAAACCTCAAGTTTCTATGTAACGATTTGCCCTGCATGTTAACCAGCTGGGATTGGGCAACAGTTGCTGCACGCTAGCCATGTTGCCACATCTTGGCTGCAACCGCAGATAATAGCAACAACAGCAAGTTGTAGAGCAACTGTTGGCTCTATTTACGATGTGCATTAGTTGGGCTCTAGCCAACATTCGGTCGCTCCTCTTCCATCCAATAATGGCAAAAGTTCGCATTTTGCATTACGAACAGTTTTGGCTGCAGCGTGCTGCGTTCTGCGGATCTACCTGGCTGCCTGGTCGTCTGGCTGCCTGGCTGCCTCACTACCCTTTGTGGCGTTATCAAAAACTTTTCAAGGACTGCGTCGGTTGCACCTCCTTCCTTTTGCTGGCAAAAGTCGAAGTTCTAATAACTCGACGTGGCTTCCAATAAAGTAACTCTCTCTCTCTCTCTGCCTCTCTCTTTCTCCCTCCCCCTCTCCCTCTCTCTCTCTCTCCGTCTCTCTCTCTTTCTCTTCTTCTCTGTGGCTGTCAATATATATTTTACCAGCTCAAGTGGAATGGCTGATCGATGACACTGCCAGGACTTCTGGTACTCATGCTCCTGCTCCTGCTGCTGCTGTAGCCAAATTGTAATTATTGGCACTGCAGCTGCTGCTGTTGCTGCTGTTGCTGCTGCTGCTGCTGTAGTTGGTGCTCCTGGGTGCTGGCAAGTTTTGGTTTAGCCATTTGCTGTGCGGCTATTGATGAAATTTCATATGCCAGCACTTCAGTTGCTTTGCTGCAGCAAAGTTTGTTTTGCTGTTTTCAGCTGGCAACCTTGAAACTGTTGCAGCTGCCGCTGAGACGAAACCAATGGCAAACATTGAAAATTATTAAATTGAAATCGGGGCGAATTTGTGTGTACGCAGCGCGTACGGATGCAACCAATATGCAAACACGCCCCGAACGCCATTTTCCAGCAGCCGCAACAATAATTAGCGGCTTTTAGTGCAGCGAAAATCTAATCAGCACGCAGACAGCGGACCTAAATAGTACGCCCAAAAGTCAAGGCTTGCGCTGGGCTAATTATTTTGTAATTTAACGCGCGTTGCTGGCCGGGCAGCAGCTGCTGGCCAGCATGCAGTGGAACGCATCAAAAATTTCTAATTAATTTAGAGAGAATAGAGAGCAGGAGCAGCATCTGTTGACAGCGAGTCCAACGAGCTGCTGTTAGCGTCAATGATTCCGCATTGATTGATGGGCTGGCTGCCAGGCAGAAGACTCAGTGTGTTATCTAGTTCGATTTTAGCATTTTATCTGCATTTCCATTCTGATATTTTTCTGATTTTTTTTCTGTTTATTTTTCTTGAATTTCTGGACAGCCCGCTGCAGTTCAGTGATGCACATACGAAGCTGGTCTGGACGCTCAATTACAGCCTGATCGAGTGGACGTCGAAATTTGTGCCGCAATGCCATTTGCTGTCGAATACGATTATTGCGGCCAATAATTTTCTGAAGAAGACACAGAATGAGGAGCTCTATCTGTGTGTGCTGCATGTGAGTAGAACTAGTCATATACATACTACATACACTCAACACACAACACGACACAACACAACACACCAACAACACTCTGTGGCGTCTGTCCATTGTTGGCATTCGCCTCCATTGATGGCCCTAAACGTTCAGCCCATTGCCCTAACCAAATCTAGTGGGCAACTTCAACTCAGACAGCGTCCACGTCGCGCTTAATTGGTTTTTTGATTGACAATTTTCAAGAGGAATCCAGTCAGCCAACCAGCCAACCAGCCAGGCAGCCAGCTAGCTAGTCAGCTAGCCAACTGCAGTGGCATTCCCTATAAAAAAAAAATAGAATGTAGCCACGCTCTCATAACTGGCAGACGCGGAAAAAATGCGAAAGCAACAACAAAATGTTTATTGGCCCAAAAACACAGCGTCAAAACAGCACAAGTCGCACATAAACTCACACACACATGCGAGTGGGGGAATGCGCGTGTGCATGTCCTGAACCAAAGTCCAATATAATGAAATTGTTGCTCAAACTTTGTGCACACATCGGTTCTATGTGCTCTTCCAGCAGAGACAACATCAATAACAAATTTCTCAGTCAGTGCGCATAATTTGGCCATTTAATAATCGACTAGCTGGGCTTTTAACTGCCTTTGGTAACATCGAGAGTATGCCAGTTGACAAACAAATTGCATACGCTGGCTCTGTAACAGTAATTAACAAATAGCAATTCCAATTTCAAACAGAGTCTGCTCGACCGACAGATGCTGCGCAGTTGTGTTTTGACCAGAATCCTGTGCATGCATAGAATGATGGATTGGTCTAATGTTTATGTCACTGGGCCAATATATTCATGTATTAATGAACTGATTCGGGCATTGATTTATTGATGAATTGATATAAGCATACACGTAGTGAAATATTGTTATTGGGATAGATATTTTGTTAGATGAATGGCTAGATTAATGAAAAAGAAATTTATTGAGAAGCTGATGCGTGAATGAATATATAAAACTCTTGACATCCTGAGGGCCTGCAGAGAATATATAGTATATATTATTATATAACTGCATTGATTGAGATGTATTGAAAAAGGTATTGATTTTGTGAGTCATTGAATTTTCAGTGCAGCGTAACATATTCAAAAGATTTTTCAACACATTTGAGCTCTGTTTTTATGACAAGAATATTATAAATATTTTTACTTAAAAACAAATTAAATAAATAAATAAGTTGCAACTGAATGTTAATCTAGCGTTAGCCTTTAGAGTGCATTATAAAAAATATATAGCAGCCTATTGAATACCCTTTTTTATGTGCCTAAGAGTTTACAAAACGTTTCTGTTCACTGCACACTTCCGGTCATTGGGCATTTTTTGCTGGCAGACAAATTAAATTCAACTTTTGAAGCAATTTATGAAATTTGCACGCAATTCAATTGTTTTGCTGTTGTTGTTGTTGTTGTCGTTACTTGTACTTTGATGGCAACAGGACACAAAGAGCGAGAGAGAGAGAGAGATTGAGAGTCAGACAGACAGAAACTGAACTAAAAAGCAAAAGTACTCAGTGGTTGGGCAGACGGCGCTGAGCTGGGCGTGGTCGCCCACTAGCGCGCAGCGACAACAGCGGCCAATAACAATAACAATTTGCCACTCAATTAGCGTGGCCATTACTGAAAAATCCACTTAAGTATGCAATGATAAAAATTCAAAAGCGAATCGTTCGCCCCCAAAAATTCTGTTGCTCTATGGGCCGCGCACACTGTCTACATATATACGCTGCTAGCTACATACATACATATATGTGTATATATGCATATAGAAACTCTGTTAAGTTTGATATTTTTTTGCCATGCCAACAATACATATTTACATTTATGTTTACATATCTATCTGTGCAGGGTCTCGAGCGCATCGTTGTGCGAAGCGGCTGTTCGAGAGCAGCGCCTACTGCAGCGGAGGGCAGCGGAGCTGAAGCTGGCACTGGAGCTGTGGTCACACCGCAGTTGCGACATAAAATTGAAAAACTTGCGCTCGAATTGCTGAAAATGGAAAATGAGAAATTTTCAATTCCAGCATTGAAATTGCTTTTGTCCTGCATGTATGTGGGTGAGTACCAAAACGATAACCACTCGAGGAAGTGCGCAGCAGAGGAAGTAATATAAGAAAAAGACAGCGAAAGAGAACAAGTCAAGACAATACCTCTACAAAGGCAAAGTCGAGCAAGAGCAGATGTGCGTAAGCTATAAGAAAACAGTCGAAAATATTTTGTTATTTTATTTAACAGCTGCAAACCATAAGGACGGAAAAGCAGAAAAACAAAAACAATTCTGGTTGTCCAAGTCCCCTGCTGAGCGAACATCCTTCGACTATCGTGGCTTTAACTGGCCGGCTTTAAGCTCTATCGATAGTGGAGCTTAATCATATGCAATAAACATATAAAGCACTTGCATTTAGTCCCAGTTCTGCTCCAGGTCAACTGGTTGACTCTGCCATTGGCCAAAAGTTAATGTTGTGTGTGTCCGTTTGTTTGTTGGCCATGGCCAGCACCGGGTCAACAGTTTGCTGCCCATTTTGGCCATGACTGCGTGTGTGGGCCTGTGTAACTACATGCTTGGGTAATTGCTGTCAATGCTTACGGTATGCTATATGTTGGCCTTGGGTGGCTGGCCAGTCGGCCAATTGGCCAATTGACCAACTGGTTGGCCAGCTGCCTGACAAGCCAACAATTATTTCTCTGGCTGGCGTTATTACCGCAATTTCGGGGCAATTATTAGCGTTGAGAAGTGTTTGACACTCGGGCGCATGCAGCACATTGCGCCTCCCTCCTGCTGATAGCCTCGTTCGAATTGCTCATTTTGATACCCTAGTCGGAGAATGCTAATGTGGGGTACATTTGTTTATTAGTTAAGCAGAGCATTTTTTGTAAGGATTGGTGATTGAATATGTCTGAGACAGGGCATTCACCGTGATGCTTTAAGAAAAAAGTTGACTTGTTTTGCATTTAAGAAATCGATATATATCGATAAACGTTAAATAGACAAATTTCTAATTATATAAGCTTAGTCTTAAAATATTAAATAGCCAGTAGAAACTAATGTAGAGTCTTATCAAGGTTTCTTGATGTTCAAGACTTGCTACCATATGTACTGGGTACTATAAAGTGCCTCACTTTCGATAGATATATATACTGTGTTCATCTTTGGGGAACCGTTCGATTACTGTTTCGGTCTTTATTTATTAAGCAGTATTGTCCATGCCATATGTTCATTTGGCATTTCATTAGCTCAACTTAACTAACAAAGATTTAGATACATATACTGAAATATACATATATAAATTTCGGTATATAGACCAATGTCTGGCTGTGCTGCTTTTGGACTTGTTGATCGAACCAATCGGCTGAGCTGAAAGCCATTTAGCTGCGTTTAGTTGCGGCCAAAGTGGGAAGCCATTGAGAGTCGGTCCATTGTGTTTTTGCACTTTAAACTTGAAGTTTAGCTTTGCAGCCGGAGTGACATGTGTGCAGCAGCTTTTTGGCCAAAACAATGCTGGCGATGTGCATAAATATGGCACCAGGATGCGATGCGATGCGATGCGCTGGGTTGCGTTGCGATGCGATGCTCGCACGGAGCTACATGTATTTTTCTTGCACTTTGTCAGGCTCGATGCGATGCGCTGCGATGCGATGCTGTGCGGGCAGTGCGGGGCAGTGCGTAGTGCCATTCGCTTTTAGGTCCTTGGCAAATGCGCACAGCATGCAAATCCTTTGAAAAATGTCAATGTTTGCGCTAGTTGTGTGCCACGCCCCCTTCGTGCAGCCGCCAAACGAGAGTTTCGCCAGCAAATGGCAGCAGCTTCGGCGATTTTAGGCCCTCTCGTAGCCGGCCAGAACCAAGTGCAGCTAAGCGGAAGTTGGCCATGGCGTGCCACACCTCCTCGCCCGTTCGTTAGCCTGGTTTATTAAAGTGTTTGGCGGGCGCAACAAAAAAAAACACGGCGCAAATAAATCGAGTCCCAGGCGACGCAAGACGATACTGCACGCCCACAAAAATTCTAAAAAAAAAAAGAAAAAAAAACAAATGGCAGCAGTCTAAAAAAAAAAAGCGCCACCTTCGTCTCTCCCATTCATCGAGCAGTACGCAATAATAAATATTTGCGGCTATATTGGGTATCCTTTAAGGACCCGCACAGCGAAACACAGCCGTTTTTCCTAGCCAACTTTGTGTTGCTCGTGCTCGTGTCTGTTGTTTCGCTTCGTTTCGCTTTTTTTGTTTATCTTTTTTTTTTTGTGAGTATCTTAAATGAATTTTACAGTTTGTTAGCTTTTTTTGTGCTTCCATTGCTAACGGCATTTGTGGCGCGCATAATTGTGGCCAGTAGCAGCAGCAGCAACACCACCAGTCCAAATCCTGGCCAACAGCAGCAACAGCAACAACAACAATCGCCAAATTGGCAACAGCCAGCAAGAATGTTAAGCCGGCAAAAGCTAAAGGCCAAAGTTGGCGCTGGCCAAGCGCGCGCATTGTTAATAATTCGCACACGCCAAAGCTAAATGCAGCCGCACATGAAGCAGCAAAGGCTTTTAATGCTGCCCCACACAAGCAACAGCAACAACAACAACAGGTTTCTAGCTTCTGTTCGAATAGTAGCTACGCCCACTAATTCGCACACATTCAGACATAAACAACTCATTTGTAGCATTTTCATTCACCCACAACAAAAATGCAAATCGAAATATTTTCCGACTCTCCAATCCACTGAAGTAAAATTTAAAAAATTAATGATAAAATAATAAAAAAAAATTATAAATAATATATGTCTAAAACATGCAACAAATCATATACAGTAGAATCAGAATCCGGTTGTAACGACGAAAATTCTGGTCCCCAGACAAACTTATAGGAGCAAAACTCTTGACCGACGCTCAATCTATAATCGGATTCTATTGTAAAATATATTCCACACTCATATTTAATTATCTGTTGGCTAAATAGTTGATTAACAACTGTTAATAGGACATCCCAGCAGTTTCTCTGAAAATTTGAAATATTTCTTACAAGTCTAGCTATAATAAATATTGAGATCTTACCTGTTTTCCGCTACGATTACAAAATATATCCAGACCTAAACACGCCCACACTCATAGTGAGACATAGAGAGAGGTTGGGGAAGTGTAGGCACGTCAAGTCAGAAATTTTAAATGTAAATTTATGTGCTCTGAACTGGAGTATGTGAAATCACTAATGTAGACGCAAAAAATGGGCGGGGTTCGCTTTGTTAATTGCAAAACTTTTGACTTGTGACATGTTTGCGCTGTTGATGACTCTGGTTTTTTTGCTCTCATTTTCATTTTTGCTTTAGGTTCGTCGACTCAGCTGGAGAATACGGAACTGTCGAATGGCATTGTGCAGGATGATCCAGAGATAATCGCGCTGCAAAGCGATAAAGTCGATATACTTTTGCATTGTATTAAATCATCGAGTCGAGACGCTGCCTGGATTTATGGACAAGTGCTGTGCCAAATTATACGTGATTTAGTGCCACCGAATGAAATATTGACGAAGGTCATAAAGGAGTTCCTGGCCATAAATCAGCCGCATGGCGATGTTATTGCCATGATTGTGTATCAGGTGAGTAGCAGCCAAATCTGCTGGCCAACGGTGCTCAGCAGCTCTGCTGGTCCGCTGAGCGCAGCTCGGCTCAGCTCTGCTGGCAAAGGTAAAGACGCCGCAATCTACTGCGCTAGCCACTCGTGCGTGTCTCAGCGGGTCAGTGAGTGAGAGTGACTGTGTCTGTGTGAATGTGTGTGTGTGTGTGTGTGTGTGTGTGTCTTCGTGGTGGTCCATTTTGCTATGGGTAGCTTTATGGGCCTCTGTGTCTTGAGACTGGAGCGAAGCAAATGCACCGCTAATATCTGGTCTGAGCACCCGGTGAAAGGGTAAAATAGTTGCCTCCAGTTGTCAGATGCCGGCCTCTGTGTGCCTGTGCGTGTGTGTGTGTGCGGAATATGTTGGCAGCTTGAAAATTAATGGAATTCATGGCTACAGCTTGGCCCCTGACCAACCGAAAGCGTACGCAACTATGTGGGTCAGACCGAGGCAACTGCCTCTGTGGTGCCATAAAATTTTTTTCATTAGGTTCAAGGTTGCCCAGTGGGCGTCCCGTGCATATGTGTGTCCTGGCATGGAAATTAATAAAAATAAATAAAAAAAGAAAAGAAAAGGAAGACACGAAGCCTTGGACTTGGCTAAACTGGAGCAGGCAGCCACATGGCTTAAAGCACAAATTGCACTGTCATTCGGGCCAGGCTAACTAACTATGGCAAGCAGCGAAATTTCATTAGAGCAATCCGTACCCTGTTGCCTCCGTGTTGCACTCGTTTAATCAAGCATTTCGGTTGCCTTTTGTGCTTTCAGCCGGCGCCAAATTCTAAAAGAAAACTAATGTATTTTTGCTTCTGTCTGTTTTCGTATCTTTTGCTTCTTTGTTTCATTTCGTGTCTACGTGCTTTTTCAGGTGTTTCGCTCGGCTATTGACTCGTCGTTTCTGCAAATGCTGCAGGACTGGCTGATCTGCACGCTGCCAACGTTTTTGGCCCAGCCGGAGCAGCAAGGTGTCTGGGGTCTAAGCGTCATCTTTTTATCCGCTTCCATAAATCTGCATTTGATTAAACTATTTCCGCTGGTGCTCGGCAGCGGAGCATCTGCATCTGGTTCCGCTCCGGCTGCCGTCGCCAGCCCCAGCCCCAGCCCCGGACACGGGCCCGCAACCACATCCGCCTGCGGCAGCGTCTGGATGCCACCGCGGAAATTGGGTCAACACGAAATTGCATTGTTCGTGACAGCTGCACAAGATTTCCATGCGAAATTGAGTGCCGAGCAGAAGTTGCGCTTTCGCGAGGCCTTCAGGAACTATGAGCAGAGCCAGGTCTATGCCTCCATGTTGCAGCGCCTCTGATAACGCTCAAATCGGACTGGAGCCCCCAAGGATTTTGCAGCGGATTTAGCCGAAAAATAAATAAGTAAAAGACGCTGAAGAGGAGCAGGCAAACTTACGCCCAGGACAAGCGCAAGCGTGAATAACTAATTGCTCTGCTCTGCTCTGCTCTGCTCTGGTCGGCGCTTGCAAAGTTCAGACGGATGTCCTCCGACTTCGCTGCTGCGTCGCTCTCCCTGGGAAAACTTCTTTAATAGTTTGCGAATTCAAAATTAATTTATGGTTTACATTATGTGTAACTAATATTTAAATTATTTTCTCCCCTCCTCCAAACTTTAACGACCCGCAATTAATTTCTGAGTTGCAGCTCTCCCTCCCCCTCTCTCTGTCTATCTCTATCCATCTTTGGCCTTTTAGAAAATTGTGTTTTCTTAAAAAGTTTTGCATTAGTATGCAGCTTAATCAATTGTTAGTTAATTTGATAACAAATTCCATTAAGCTAAAAGTGTAACCAACGATCAACTTATTTCCGAGTGTTACTAAACAAAACTGTATTGTTCCAAGTCTTTAATCATGTATATTTAATAAAAGTCACTCTGTGAAAATATTTAATGTCACTGATCTGCGTTTTACTTGGGTGAAGGCTGCTCTTAAGCTATTTTATTTTTATACCCTGAACCCATTTTCAATGGGAAATCAGGGTATAATGGTTTTGTTGAAATGTATGTAACAGGCAGAAGGAGGCGTGGCAGACCCCACAAAGTATATATATTCTTGATCAGGGCGACGAGCTGAGTTGATTTGGCCCTGTCCGTCTGTCTGTCCGTCTGTCCGTCCGTCCGTCTGTCCGTCTGTCCGTCTGTCCGTATGTATGAACGCGTCGATTTCAGAAGATATAAGAGCTAGAGACTTCAAAATTTTTTAAAAATGTTCGTAATTACAGCGCGCATATCAAGTTTATCATTAAAAATCGATAACTCATCCCGATCTTTTTTTTATCGATAAAAAACCTTATCGAAAACCAGTTATAAAATTATATCTTCTACACCTTTATTGCTAGAGTCTCCAAATTTTTAATGTATGCCTATATGCAATTTATACAATTTCGGTTTTTGTTAAAATTTACCCCCCACCCCTAAATTCACCCCCTCACCCTCACTTTTGTAAAAAGCGTATTTCAAATACTAGAGACTTGTGCTTTAGAATGTGCACACATTTTTACCATATGATTACGCTCTGAAAGTTTTATTAAGATTGTACGTCTAGAAATTAAATTATTCAACAAATAAATTCTTATAATATTGCCCACACTGCAGCGCAGCCCAAGCGCAGTCGCTGCTTACTGCGCAGTTAGCAGGCGCGTTCTAATACGTGCGTGTGTATGTTTCGAAAAGAAGTGCAGACTGATTAGAATATCAGCTTAGAGGGTTCAGGGTATCTCCTAGTCGAGCAGTCTCGACTAGAGCTTTCTTACTTGTTTCTTTATTTATTCTTTTGTCATTTAAACTGCTTTAAACTTTTGCACTCTCACCTGTCTGTGCTGCGCCTTGTAACTCAGCTGGCGCGGATTTTTGAGCTGCAGCTAAGCGCATTAAAATTGACAAAATGTCACTCAAAAAGTATTGCAAAACTTATTTTCCGAAAAAAAAAATTGTTTTTGTTTATTTTTCTTTCCAAGTAGATGACTTATAGATACTCTGTTGCTTTGCAAGGATCAAAAAGAAAAAATATTTTTAAAAAATTATATTTACATAAATCTTAGAAAAACTTTGTACACTCAGTCGTGAATGGTCAGAATGTGTTTTTAATTTACTCAAATGAAGAAAAATAATTGTTCTTTATATTTATATAGTCTCATGAAAGTCAAGTCGTCCCTCAGCAAATATATCTGTATTATTTTCAGCACAATATATATCCCAACCTACTGCTTTAAGCTAATATACCTTCAAGCATTTTGCATTGTAGGGCATGCATAGAAAGATTCTTCGCCATTTTGCGACTTACAGAAGTTGCACAAGCACTGTCAAGCCAGCCCATTGGCTGTATTTCTGAGCGAAAATTGGCAGATCAACTTTTTTTTTTAGCTGCATGCGTACATGTGTAGTGCCTGCCCCCGTCGCTGTGCGTGTGTGTGTGTGCCGGAAATTCGCAAATGGAGAAAGCAACGCTCCAGAATGAAGTGTAAAGTTGTTGCACGTCGTTATATAGCTTCTTTTTTTTTTTTTAGATAGACAGCGCCTTATGCAATCGAGCACAGGCTTTACAGGGGCAGTGTGTGGGTGAAAAGACAATGTCCTTTTGCTGTGGCCATTGCTGCGATGAAGCGACACGGCGAGAGGCAATTTGGCTTTCGCTCTGGCCATAAACTGCAACATTTCGGCTATCAGCATTTGGTTACGGTTCATTTGGCCAAATGGCCATAACGACGGGGCCCGGGCACAGATTGTCGCTGTCCGCTGCTTACCCGCCGCCACCTGCCGCTCACCCGCTGCCAAGTGTATGTGGCGCAGCTAGCGACGTGCCACAAGCACTGATTCCAGGTGTGCCAGACACCATGACCTGCGCCTTCGTGCAGCTGCGACTCGTGTTCCATTGCCAGGCGTTGCGCTCTCTTTGCCGCTGTGGCTCGTGCCCAACTGCCAGCCGCTGCGCTCTCTTCGACGCTGTTAACAGTTGTCCAAGAAGAAATTCACCACGATTCGGAGTTGCGCTCTTTGCAAATTTGGCTCTCTTAAAAGTATCGCGTGCGCCCTCTCTCTCTCTACCACTGGCTCTCTCTCTGCCTCTCTGTGTTTTTACTGTTGCGAGTAGGTCAGTAGTGCGAACTGTTCCATGCCATTCCGTTTCGACTGCTTGGTATACAGGCCAGCACGAAAGTATGCTACAGCTCCTGAGCGCTCACACACGCACACGTAGACGCTCAGCAGGACAAATGTTACACTTACAGTTATGATTATGATTATTGTTATGATGATAACATTGTTGCTATTGATATTGTTGCTGTTGTTGTTGGTGTTGCTGTTGCTGTTGCTGTTGCTAACGTTATTGTTTAGCTATTTGCTTGGGCGCCTCAATGACTTAAGACCCCACAGCAAATGTGTCCACTGTAGCATGAGCCGATAGCTGTGCACCATTGAGCATGTACACGCACACGCACACGCACACGCACACGTATTGGCAGTTATTACGCGAGCTGCCACAATGTTATCTAATAAACAACACCTGCTTTTCGCTTACCTGCAACAGCTTTGATCAGCTAATTTGAAATTTTAATTACATTGGCAGAGGCGATGAAGTGATGCCTGTCAGCAACTGATACGCCTTAATTACGCCACCTTCGCAAAATAGGAAGTCAACCTCAGGTATGCCCACGCCCACGTCCATGCCTACGACTACGCCAAGAACCACGCCCTCGTCACGTGTAAAAATCAACGCGCCCAAGCTCTGGCGCTTCACAGGAGGCGAGCTCGCTTATTAAAACTGAATAAATTATGCAAAACTGTGAGCAGCTCGATTTCCTTTTGCCCAATAAACCGGAGCCAATACACGAAACACAAGACGAACGCTGCATAATTAATTCAGCTCCATGTCCGGCGGCTCTGAATGCAATCAAAATGCGTGCACAACTTGACCAAGTCGAGCCCAAGACGCTTAAAGCTGGCCCGAAAACTCCAAGTGGACTTTAGTTTGGGCCCACCTGCGCCTCAGCTCTGTGCCACGCCTATCAATGCCTATCAGCAAGCAGTAATTCGTAGTGCCGTCTCTGGGTCTGGAGCACATCGCAACTATTTCAGTTTCATAAACAATTCACACATTTTTGAGAGACTTTCCAAATAGTTTTTCGCGAATGATTGGAAAATACCAAAAACGAAACAACTGTAAATGATACAAAATATCTTGTTTATTTCTTTTATTGTTTACATTGAATTAGCGAAAAGCTGTGCAATTAACATTTGTGTTTACATTCGGCATTCGATATTCGCCTCGGCGCACTCGAGTGCGCGTGGCTCACAAGAAGCGTTAACTCATAGACAGTTTGGATTAGCCTATATACATACATACATCTATATCTAAATCCAAGTGCAAATACATATACATACATCTAAATACATATATAGTTAAGCTATATAAGGAGCATGCCATTTGAATTGCGAGCTCGTTTTTATAGGACTCCTATTTGCTTATTGTTTCTGTTTATAAGTTTGGTCCTTTTTGGTTTTTTTTTTTCTTTTCTCTGTTTTTCTGTGGGGCATTGGTCGTTAATTAACGGCACATTCTCAGCCCCTTAATTGGCCGCATTTAGCCGGTTGGCCGCGTTCGAGCGTCCTGCGAAGCAATCAATCTGCCACCTGCCGCCACTTCGCACTCGCCCTCTTCCACCTACGTCGGCTGCTGCTCCTGCTCCTGCTCCTGCTGCTGCTGCTCCTGCTCCTGCTCCTGCTGGTTGTCGGTCAATCACTTTTCGATATATACAAATAGATATTTGGAGCTGTCGCCGATTTTTCGTTGTCGTCGCCTGTGCACTCACAGGCCTGTCGTAGAGGTCCTGCCGCAGGACGTTTTGCGCGGCGGCGGCAAATCAGATGTGTAATTCTGGTAGCGGTTCGAGCAGTTAATGGCCTACAGAGAGATAGAAAGTATGAAATGCCAGGACAGAGAACACGAAGGCCGGGCATAAGTTAATGCCAAAAATACATAAAATAACGACAGTAAATCGTTGCCACAAAATGTTTGATTAATGATGTGTTGCGCTCTGCACGGAAGCACCGTGCACCGTGCCCCACAAATTCCCCACGTCAAACCGCCAGCCCCGAAGCGCAGCGCACGCTGTGGCTTTGCATTTGAATGATTAGATTTGATTCAATATTCAATTATTTAACTGGTTTGAGGTGTTGAAATGCCCACAGTTTATCTGTGGGTCCAACATAGCCCCAGCCCCATACCAGGTCGGCTCCAGCTCAGTCCCTGCTATCCCGTTGGGCGTTTGCATATAAATGATTTATGAATTTGCGCTCTGATTGAATCGTCCGAAATTGTTGATTAGTGCGCCGTCATTGAAACAACAACAACAGCAACAACAACAGCAACAACAACAGCAACAACAACAGCAACAACAATGGCACCAACAACTGCCACAACAATCGCATAGAATCTGGCATTTCCATGCAATCACTCAAGGGAAATAAGTTACGATTTTCGAGCCCCATTGACTATGGACCATATTCAAATGCATTATGTATACACGTGCGTGTGTGCATGCCTGTGCCTGCGTGTGTGTTTGTGTGTGTGTATGCGTGTGTGTACCTGCGTACCTATGCTTGGCTGTGATTTGATTATGGCAGACATTTTGCAGCGGAATTCATAAACCGCCTTTCAACTGTTGTGCAAACTCTGACATAGCCTCGCTGCAAAATCTTTAATCGAATATCTCTGTAAATTGATATTAATTATGCATAGAATACAAATAAATAATGGTCCGATTACGCGTTCAGTTTAAAGTATCATATTTGGACTCTGAACTACTGGTACACACATACATACATATGTATATATATTTGAGGTATTTATTCAAGTAAATATCCGTTTAGCCAGGAAGCAACCAAATCGTTCTCTAATG